GCAGTGAGCAGTCGCCAGTTCCGCGCTTGGCGTGTGGACCATGCCGCCGCTGCCTGGAGCGCCAGACACGCTTCCGTTGAGCGACGTGCTCGACCTGGCGAATGCGAGCGCCCCCCGGCGGCTGCCGCTTCGCTAGCGCTCCGTAGGAGTCTAGGTAGCTCACGCCGTAGGGACTCGGGACGCTTTCGGTGGACGCAAAAAGGCGCGCGAAAAAAAAAAAGACTTGGCAGCTTCGAGGACTGCCGGCCATCCCCTCGCGACCAGCGAACGCGAGCTTCGGCGAGGCGGACGGGCTTGACGAAAAACTTTTGAGCCTTGAGCCAAAATGGCTAACAGCGTTTTCGCCGCGGATCCTAGAGCATCGCCAAAAAACCTCGCGGAAACTGTGCTGGGCTTCAAGTTAAAAAATGCGTTCTCGCCGCGGAGCCTAGAGCCTCGCCAGGAACTCCGCAGAAACTGTGTTGGGCTTCAAGATTGCTTCAAGTAAAAAAACGTTCTCGCCGCCCTAGAGCGTCGCCAGGAACTCCGCGGAAACTGTGCTGGGCTTCAGGTAAAATCAGTGTTCTCGCCGCGGAGCCTAGAACGGGGCCAGGGGCTCCGCGGAAACTGTGCTGGGCTTCAAGTAAAATCGGCGTTCTCGCCGCGGATCCTAGAGCGTCGCCAGAAACCCCGCGGAATCTGTGCGGGGCTTCAAGTAGAAACAACCAGCTCGTGTCCCCGCTTGGGTGGGATGGCAGACCCACCCGCGGTGCCGCTGACCGCGATGGTGCCGCACTGGAGGCCGCTGCGCGACGCAAGCATGCGCGCTACCCTGAACTTTCCTATACTTTCCGTTGGGGGACCACAGCTTGTGCGTGTTGGCCGCCGAAGTCGGAGGGCGCCAAAAAGTACGCGCAAAAAACAGACATACGTGCAACCTCCCCAAATAATTAACATAAGTTTTGTAACAATTATCAGCCAGGTTTGCGACCAGAAGATCATTTGCCATCAGTTTTCGGCGTACCCATTTGCAAAGTCCAGACATGTTCGGCATGGTGCAATCAGCAAGCAAACCAAACGCCGGACATGACCATCGCATTTTGCAAGGCCAACGAAAAGCGACGTGTTGCGACGCGCTTGTCAATGTTCATCTGTAGCAAGATTGACGCACACATCAAACCTTGTAGGACAAAACAGAAAGTTTTGTAGGAACACCAATGAAGTACTGACATGCCCTACACGGGAAATTCCTGCTGGGGAGGCCTTAAGACATACCTTTGAGCGCGATCGACACTTGTTTGTTTCCACCTTTTTCCACCCCCTGAATCCTCGTCATGGTTGGCTTTTGCCTCAGAGACATCACATAAGCGTGGTTGTTTTTGTATTGGACTTTTGTTGTGTGGAAGCTCCAGGCCCAGTGATCTTCGAAGGCCACCTGAAGACGTGATCGGAACCGAGCATAGCAAACGTAGACATGCCACAGGTGTGCCGCCACCGACTTGGATCGTAGTTTCACCTGCACGGCTCTCAGGTGCCACCGCCCGGGTCTTTGATGTTCTTGTTCCACTGACTTTTCTGGAGAAGTGATTGCCGAGGCCCAGGCCGCCCAAGTTATCCTCGACCCGCCAACAACGGGCCGGATACCTTGGCTCTGTTCTGGTTCAGTTGGGTTGGCCCAGAGTCTCCCGTCAGCCCAGGCGATCTGAACCAGCTGAACATCCGCAACGCGCTACACCACAGGCCAAGCTGTAGTCGCCGGAATTTGCGGCCCGGCCATCCGATGCAGGGCCGTCGCAAAAGAGATGGCCCCATTGAAGTTGCCGAAGCGTGCTGATGCCGGTACGGTTGTGGAGCCTGGCACTCACGTCGCCGCAGGTTGTGCTTGTCTCTTAAGTTGCTCACCACCTGTTTGGTCCCCGAATTTTGTGCGTTGCTTGGTCCTGGTCCCTTGGTCCTGGTTCCCTGGTCCTGCCTGCATCCTGTGGCGTGGATTTTTGTTTTTCTAGCCGTGCGCGGGGTAAAGTATCGTGTTACACATACAGAGAAAACAGCACAAAAAGAAAACGCGCCCCCATGCACGCAGCCAAAATAAAAATGCGCCCCCACCGCACCCTCAGCAAAAAAAAACGCGCACCCGCAGGAGAGGAGGAGAAAAAAAAACACCCCCGCACCCGCGGCACAAAAACAAAAAGCCCCGCACCTGCAACAAAAAATGCGCCTGTACCCTGCGTAGACCTTCGACTCCCCACGATCCGGGGGGCCAGAAAACAGGGGGGGGGGAGGGCAAAATGGGCTCAAGGGCCAAAAAAAAATCAGGTTCGGGGGTCGAAAAAACAGGCTCAGGGGCCAGAAAAAACGAGACAGGGGCCAGAAAACAGTGGTTAAAAAAACGGGTCGCCCTAGGGAAAATAGCACTCTCCAGGGCACGTTGTAAAGAAAATTAGGCGTAGACCCCCGTACAGTATGCCGTACGGTGAAAGGCCATGGGCATGAACACGCCAAGCGCTCCAAACAACGTTCCTGTGGCACTCGAGGAACATCCTTCAAGAGAACTACACCAGCTCTGCGGGAGCCCGCCAGGAACCCTTCAAGGACGTTTATGGGGACATTTAAAGAGCATTTGAAGAGCATTCCAAAGCACTCCGAAAGTATACAGTCAGTCACGCTCGAAGCCCTGCAACAGTTTTTGCGTTGCCTGCAACACCCCATGAGAAATTCCCAGAGCGCCCCAGCAAGAGCCTGGAGGCGTCCCCTTCATACTACATGAAATGATAAACGAAGCCGGCATTTTCCATCCCTTACCCTGGAACCCCCGCGTGACACACTGTTTGGGGAAATAGGGAGCAAAACAAGAAACAAAAAACGAAAACAAATACACCCGCTTTCACCTGGGGTGAGCCAGCTGCTTGTTTGTGAGGTTTGTCCGTTGCGCCAGAGCAGAGCGTCACGGGGGGGACCGGGTTAAAAACCTTGGTCTCCCCCCAACACTTGTCGCAACAGACCGGCGGACCTCAACCTCGGCCAAGAGGGGGAGGTCCAGCTGGCGCTCCAGCAACATGGACAGGAGCGGCCACGCGTAAATGAAAGGACACGCATTTCTTCAGTCTGCTGCCAGGACGTGTCGCCGAAGGAGGGCCGCAAGATGGGGCTGGATATTCTCGGATGGCTCCAGGACCGCTCCCGCCGCTCCCCCGGCCTCTCCTCAAAAACAATTAAATTCCCAACGCTCCAGCTTCACACCGCTTTTCCTGATGCATGTGACTTCGCAAGAACGCGCCGCTGATGCAGGATTGCCCCACAGCGCCGACGGTGCAGGATTGGCCTGGCTCCCATCCCCGAATTGCTGGTGCAGCCTGGCAATCCTTGTCTGAAGTTTCAGGCACGCAGAAGTACTTGGCCATCGTGGGCCAAGCTGAGTGCCAGGCACGATTCAGGATCTGCAATGCCTCAACTTTGAAAATGTCAAACCCCTCTCTGGTACAGTCGTCGCATGCCTTTGCCAGGGCTGCCAAAAAAGTGAGATCCCTTTGACTCACCGCTGTGTCTTGCATGTCCCAAAAGCCAAAGAAGCCTACATCAACTCGAAAGAAAAGGCAAAATCCACGCCTGCTGCAACAAGCTCCGAAGAGACCCAACAGCCATAAACCCTAAAACCCGAAGCTTGCCCGGGCTCCATGTCATGACTATTTTTTTGGAGGGCGGAATACACCACGCGCCAATATGTGAGATGGGTGTATATGTGAGCCTACTAAGTTGTAGGCTTTTGGGGCTGCCGGTCACCGAAGCCCAAAACCCAAAACCCCCAAATCCCTGAACCCTGAATCGTTGCAGGTTTGGGGCCTTGCGCTTCCTAACGTAATCGTGGCTCCATAAGGGTTGTAAATATGCCCCTGAGACCAGCCCTGAAAACTCATCAGGGAGCAGATGGGGCGCTAGTTGCTTGCGGGCGCGACGTGAGACAAATTTCGAGGGCCTTCACCAAAACCTGCGAGCACAAAGGGAGGCACATACGACAAACCTCTTATAAGGGATATGTTTTTACTTCTGCAGTGTTCTGAGTCCCAAAGCTTGGGTGCTGTTTGAGTACGCTTGGCCCCCAATAAGCAGGATGTAGTTGAACACGCTCGATCCCCAAAACTTGGTTGCCTTTGAGTACGCTCGGTCCCGCCAAGCAGGCTGCTAGTTGAACACGCTGTCGGTCCCCACACTTGGGTGCTATTTGAGTACCAAAAAGCAGGATGCTAGTTGACCAGGTTCAGTCTTCGCGCGCACATAATGACCAACCAAGACGCCTCTCTGAAACCTTCAAACCTCGCACGCTGGGCCCTTCAAGCATGTTATGGTTCTAGGGCTTTCAGACCTAATTTTGAGTGGCCCTCACCCTACGAGCACGAAGAGAGGGGGCGTGCGACAAACTTCTAGGGCCCTCACCAAACCTTACGAGCACGAAGGGAGGGGACATGCGACGAACCTTTAAAGGATATGTTATTACTTCTACAGTGTTCTGAAAGTGCAACGTTAGGAACAGCAGAGGATGTTTTTTTGCGCTTGTATAGAGCCTTTTCGCAGAGCAAGCAGGCTTTTTTCCCAACTCCTAAAAAAGGGTAGTTTAAGTGAATGGAGATGTTTATCCCTTGCGTGCTGGTAGCGTAATCGCGGCTCCATAGGGTGTACGACTTCACCCTACGAGCGCGAAGGGAGGGACAGACGACAAACTTCGAGGGCCCTCACCAAACCCTACGAGCACAAAGGGAGAGCACATACGACAAACCTCGAGGGGATATGTTTGCACTTCTACAGCGTTTTTGAAAGCGTGGTCCCCAAAGTTTGAGTACGCTCGGTACCCAAAAAGCAGGATGCTAGTTGAACACGCTCGGTCCCCGCATCCTGGGTGCTATGTGAGGTGCAGACTCTGAGCCTGCTGGAATAACACTTTGCTCAAGACAAGAAAGCAATGGAGCCCCCAGTTTTCTCACACGTCCGAGCCATGAAAGCGGCCCCGGAAAAACCTGACGCAGCTCATGGCTGAGGCTTCACGAGCTTTTTGAGCGTAAAAGCATCACACCTAGTGACCTCCCTGCGTTGGAGTCAATGCAGGCTGTGGTGAAGCACTTGGGCGCAGAGTTCAAAGCCTCAGGTGCCGTCATCAGATTCTGCCATCGATGTATTTGTCGTGACCTTTCACGGGATCCCTACTCGCCTGTGACTTTTTTCTATGTCGCTTGTGACTTTTTCTTCATGTCTCGCGTGTGACTTGATTTGAAATTTGCATGTGGCTGCATGTGACTTCATTTTCGCTTGTGATTTTTTGGCACACAGAGGTTCAAAACACTGGAAATGACAGTGTTAGTCTAGCGCGTTCATCATTGTTGTTGTCGCTGTTGTCGGTCTTTCAGCGCTGCGAGTTTTACTTGCTGTGAGGGAGAATACTGCTGTTCCCATTGGCACTTCAGCTGGAGACTCCGAAGTGCTGATTAGGGGTTATGCAAGGACGATACAGGCTCATGGGAGCTATGTGAACTAGCGTCGGGATGTGTCCTGCCTTATCTAAATAATCAACGTGCGACTTGGAGTTCCATATCTGTGACATCATATTTCCTGCTGTCCCTGGCCAGACCTCAACCCGGGTCGCTTGGTGAACGCCATGGGAGACAGCAGAAATGTTGTCTCCCTGGTGTTTTCACCAAAGAAGGGCTTCTTGGCAGCACTGGCGTGGCGACCGGTCGCGGCCGACATCTTCATAGAGTCGGCCATCAGTGCGAGCGACCAGGGCTTTGTGGGGGGCAGCTGCTGCATTCCCTCGAGGCCAGACTCACCGGTTTTTCCCGAAAGCACCGCGAAGCACTTCTACACAGCCTCACCGCACCGCGCGAATTACTGCACCACCTAAACCGTATTTAGTTCTATCTTATTTCTTAGCCTCGTATGTAATTCTATCTTATTTCTTAGCTTGGCGTAGGTTTGGCCACTGGAAAATGGCCACAAGTCCCATCTCTGCCCAGTTGTGCGGACAACTCACCTTTGTGCCCCCCGACCTGTTGTCCAGACAACTCGTCCCCCCGATAAGGGACAAAAAAAGGGGCGTGATGTGATTGCGCAGCATGACGTACGGTTGGATCACACGCTGGGACTCTTGCCCCAAGGTCTCCTACATGCCTTTGGGCCAATGAGAACTGTAACAATGTCGCACTCGTTCATTTATTTACCCGCTGTAATCGCAAGTTTTTCGGGGCCATTCTGCGAACTCAGTTTGTTGGGGTTGCCTGCTATAATCACAATTTTTCGGGGGCAATTTTTTGGACTAGGGCAGCTGCAGTCGGAGGCCCTTCAGGCCCTGGGCTCTAGGAATCTTAGGGAGCCAGTGCCCGCTCCTCCCTGACCTCCTGTGGCCCATTGTGATTGTCGCCACATGTCGCCATGTGCGAGGCAGCGCAAGACCCTGTCGCGGAGAGAACGCCAGAAGGCTCGACTCGCCGGCGTGTCAGATGTGACGTCCCTTGCAGTGCCTTGCAGAGCAGGCACGAGCCTCCGAAGCACCTGTTCTTCAGGTCCTTTGCCCCTTAAGTTTCTGAAGTGCATGCGGTCCACTCATCTTGCGCGCAGATGGTGGGGACGGCTGGGAAGACGAGCTGGACTTGGGCAGCTTGCCTGCAAAAGCATGCACAGATGAAGTGGCTTGCCGATTTCTACAGTGATTCTGCAGTTTAAGTTTGTTTGCCAGGAGTATCTTGAAGCTTCTTGCTTGCAGCGCCGTTTGATTGTTTTCGTTGGAGGTGTTGGCTGCCTGAGTGGTGTCGCGGCAGCTCACCTCAGACTCAGTTGTTCTTGGCAGCGCTCAGCGCACGGGTTATGTAGACATGGTGGACGCAAAAATCAACGGCATTTTCTAGCAGGCAATTGCCTGCTTGCCTGTAAAGCGCGAGGCCAACCCCTGGCACCTGAACCGCTCGGCGCTCATCGAACACTTGTACGGGTGGAGCCAGCCTGCGCGTTTCGCAGAGGCATCGACCCAGCGGTTTCAGTTGGGAGCGCACTGGTTTTTGAAGCAGCGTGCCAGGCCAAGCCCGTGCACCTGAACCGTGGCACCCTCGTCGACAAGTTGTATGGGTGGTGACCGCTGCCTTGCAGAAAGTTTCGCCTTCGGCTACTGGGAGGGTGCTGCTTCAGAATAGAAGTAATCTATTTACCACCTGTCCCTTCGCAATGGATAAGTGGTACACATTGGAGATCACACGCCCACGGCTGAAAAACCACGAGCCTAGGGCCTAGGAGCTTTCATGTCCAAAGTGCCATTGGTGAGGTGCAATATCCATGACACTCAGGCCCTGTTGGATAAATATTGTCCAGCATGGGCTCTGTTGGATAAACGTTGTCCAGCATGGGCTCATCCTTGGAAGGGCTATCTTTCGAGAGCGCCACTCTGAAGATCCCGGAAACGTCATGCCATCAAGAGGGGGGGGTGGTGAGGGTTATGGCGCGGGGTTAAGCTATAGTTCAAGAGTTTGATGAGCCCGAAAGGGAGATAGACCATGATATAGAGCCGCGAACGAACGAGCGATATCCGCAAGAGAGATTCCTTGTCATCCCCGATAGTTTCAGTGACGATGGCTGCTGAAACCAGCAGCAGTGCAAGGGTCCTGTGTCAATACGTGCAAAGACGCGTCGCAAGCCACGCTTCCAACTGCCATTTGAATGCGAGAACAGGTGGAGAGGGCTTTTGAGCTTTGAACTGAAAGGGTTTTGGAGGGCTTTTGGGGCCTGGGGCTTGTTGGGTTTTGTTGGAAAGGGTGGGGAGATTATTAAATTAAAAACAGAAGTCCGTTCTTTCTGACATGAGCCTTATATCAACCCTAATCCCCCTACTTCCCTCGGTGCTCCCGCTCTGCCCCCTTCGCCCTACCCTTCCAGGCTGAACCTCGCTCGCCCAAAATTGCTGACACCCTTAACCCGATAACCCGGTAAGCCGGTAAGCCCTAACCCTCAACCAGAAATCCTACACCTACACCTCCTGAGGCCTTCTTGCTTGAGGCTTTCCTCGATCTGCGCCCCAGCACTGCAATCGAAGCTTCAGGTCAATGCTAAAGATCCGTCAACTTCCCAAAGCTTCCCGAACCATCTCCCAATTATGCCCCCAAATCACGTGAAACAACCAAAAGCTGGGCCCACAACAATACATTCCAAGCAAGATCGTGGTAAAGGCTTTTCACTGTGGGACACCACAGGACATTCCAAAGAAGATCGGTAATTAGAGGCCTTTGGCTGTGGGAACTTGCCCAGAATCAAACAGTCCAAAGAAGAAGGGGGCAACGGCCTCTGGCCTTGGGAAATTCCCACCACAATAAATCGGGGTAAAGGGCTTTTCTCGGCAAATATGCTTTCCGATATTTTGTGTTGGAGATGTTATGGTGAGATCGCTGCAAGTTTCGGCCCGTGCTAGGTTTCAATTTTAATAGTCGTGGGCCGCCGACGCCATGTCGGAAAGGGTGCAGGCGGAGACCGGGTTTTAAACTTGGTGTTGCGATGCAATGTTTGGTGGCACGCATGCGATCCTTTCGCTAGTGCCGTATGCAGGTCGTCACACGGCACATACTGGCACCCATCGCTGTTGCGGGCAGCGAGGACAGTTATTGCTTTCACTTCATGCCGTGATTTCTTGCGCCATGTCTAAAGACCCGGAACAGGGCTCTCAAGGACGGGGGTGGGAAACAAAAACTGTTCCAGAATGACGCAGGTTCCAGTCTATGAGCCTGGCGAGCACTTCGGCATCTTCCCTGATTACGAGCACAAGTCCCACGAATGCAAATCCAGTGAAAGGGGGCAGCATCTTGTGTGCAGTAGGGTTTTGTTTCTTCCTTCACGAACGCTGGAAGGGGTCACATGCGAGACTGGGTAGGTGGCCGTATCCCGAAGTGGGAATCATGTCCGCGCAGCAAACCCCGCCACGAGCTCAGTTTTAGGGTTAAGGGTTTGGGGTTTAGGGTTTAGGGCTTACACAGCCAAACACGAATTGGGAGCGAGGCCAACGACCATTTGTCGAAGCAACCGGTCTTGCTTGTCCCGGTGTTGCGGCAGCAGTCTGCAAAGCATTCACGCAAAGGTCGACGCTGTTTACGTCCTTTTTGGAAGAAGCTGCGAAAAGTTTCCCCGAGGTTGGATCGAGATGCGAGCATGCTGCATGTGTGCACTGGAGAGTATGGAGCCAGGGGGGATTGCAATGCAGGTTCCAGCACTGGCTGCAGAGAAGCCGGTGCCTGCAATCGTCCGTGCGGGTGAAGCCCCCGCGTTGCCTTGGGAGGCACCTTTACAGTATACAATTCCATAGCCAATCGAAGTGTCCACTGCAAACTCAAGAGTCATGAATGGAATCACAGCTCCTCTCAGGCATGGACTAAATGGACCTGGAAAGACTACTACGAGGATGCACGCCGGCTGGCCAAAGCGTTCATCCAGTGACCAAATTGCAAGCAGTGGGTCAACACATGCCTTGTATTGAGTCATCTCTTTGCTGATGGAACTTGTCTCGAGGGTCACGCCTTTGATTGAGTGGCTTTAGGTGGAGGCAGGGCTCTGCACCATCATGATCTATGTTTTTGAGTTGATGGGCCCCCTTTTACAGTGAGGCTTCTCCTTCCCCGCTATTGTTTCCCTTTACTTGGTTTAAACGCAACAGCGCATCCATGCCCCGACAGCGCGAGTGAGTATTGCATAGTTCGTTTTGCGCTCGACCCGGAAGCGGCGGGGCTGGGGCACGGGGGTGAGTGGGCAGGGCACGCGTGTGGCGTAGACAGAGTGCCAATCATGCGCCCCTGCACTGACACAGCAGGCATGGTTAGGGCATTGTCAGCTTCGAAGGGCACTCCGCAGAAGTTTGCGAAATCTGTGCTCGGCTTTGCGCTTTTGCTTGGAGTGTTGACTCAAGGCTTGGCGTGGAACAGTTTGGGAGCGTGACGATATTTGGTTTCAACGCTTCTTGGCAAGTCTCGATCTTGCACTTTGTAGTGCCAATAGTGGTGGCTGGTGGCTACTCGTTATGTGATGTTATTGCCGGCATGGTGACGTGCTGTGTGGCATTGTGTGGCATTAGCGGTTGGAGGCGGTTCAGGTTGGACTCGTCTGACACGCATGGAGAAACACCATGGAAATTTGAGAACAATGCAGTCCTATCTGACTGAAGGATAGACGCACAGAGACAGACAAAGAACAAGCAGAGACAGGGAAGAAGAGGGCGCAGTTTCATGCTGCCGTTTGCTCGCAAAGCCGCGTGGTAAGCTTCTAGCCTCAGTTTCGCGTGCGATCATCAGGCACATTCTTAGGGGAGAGCAAACTCCGGCGGCAGCTTGGGCTCTTTGTGAAGGAGAGGGGAACAGGCAAGACACTTTCAAATGGAGGGCCGGCGCTTTAACCTAACCGGAATCTAGTTACAAGTTTGCTGAACAGGTGCATCAGATTGCATCAGTAAAGTGTAGTAACTTGTTGCCATACGGTCGCAATGTAGATGGAACGTAGAAAAGCTCTTCAGGAGATGTTGACCAGAGAGAATTCTAAACTCATTGTTTTTTCTGTAGTCTGGTCTTAGCTTCGGATTGGGGAGCGCTTCAATCTTTTCTCTCAACATGAACTCTTCTCAACTCGTTTTGATGCTCTGGAGCCCAGGCTCCAGAATGGATGGTGAGTGCATTGGCTGCCATGCTTTGTGGCGGCAGCTTGGCTGTTCCGAAATCTGCGTGCACATGATGATCCCAGTCTGCCCGCCCAAAGGCAAATATGTGGGAATCTATTCCACGGACACGCCAGAGCAGGCGAGATGTGCGATTGCGTGTGCTCCACAGATCAGGAATATCGCAATGCCCACAAGTCAGCAGCCAACAGCTTCTTTTTTCTAAGGATATCTGAGGATGCTAAGTCTACGAATGTCACTATAGGTCCCGGTTGCCAGGTGCAGTACAAGGTCGACCATTCCAACGCTGCAGCGCCTTATCTTGACAGGGACAGCTCCGATGCGTAAAGCGGAGAAGACGAGGCATGTGCCATGCCGAGGAGAACCAGGCATTCATTCCTCAAAGATTGAGAGAATTGAGTTTACGGACATGGATGGGTAGTTCGTCGATGGCGCATGATGGCCCGCTTTCGAGGGTGTAAAAGCCAGTCTGTGCCAACCCGAGGTCATGGTTGTGGATGGGGAGATGGAGTTTGAAGCCACGGCGAAACACGTGGAGGAACACAAGTGGCAGCCGCCCATCGGAAGTTGCCGCAATGCAAAGCTTGCGGTCAGGACATGCCTGAGCTGCGCGCCATCGTGTGCTGGGGCATTCCGGCGCCAGCTCAGCTGACTAGGCAGAACATGCCATGTTTGGGGAAGGCAGGTCGCAAAGCAGGTGCCAGTGTACCATGTGCTTGTGAGCAACTATTTGGCGAGACCCGCTGACAGCGTACACGTTTGCAATTAGGGCGGGAGGGCGGGGTGTGTATGTGCCGACTTGCGCCATGCGTGATGACAGGAAAGATGGCAGCATCTGCAAGGTCATGACTTTCAAGGACTGGCAGCAGGGCTTTTCCGGTAACGCTGAAGCGGGGTACGGTAGTGTTGTTTCCTTGTATGCATTTTCTTTTCTGATTCGTTCTTCAAATAAATGTTTTTGGAATTGGTTTTTGGAAAGGGGGGAAATGAAAGGTCAAAAGGCAAGAAAGAAAGACAAACAAACCTAAAACCCGAAACCCAATCGGGAGAGGAAGTGAGCTGTGATGAGCGACAGCTCCTTCACGTGCTGCACGAGGACCACGGACACAAGAACGCCAGCGGGCCAGCTAAATGGGTCTCTTTGACATTGCAGGCGTCCACGCGAAAAAACGGACTGGACGCGTGCGACGTGCGAGGGTTGGCGGCCTGTGGAAGATGGCCAACTGCATGGACATCATGGACATCATCGACATTATGGACACGGCGGACGGAGAGTTTCGAACACTTCTCTGACTCGTGTAAAGGAAGGGATTGAGGTTAGCTTGTCTTTAATTGCGTTGTGCTGTTTTACTTGGGTTGCCATGCGCCACTTCAAACGTACGGTACTGAGGGATGCAGTCCAATTTCACTCTTCGTCGCGGTCCGAACTACGCAGGAGAGTGACGGAGAGTGACGGATCCTTGCCTCCCAAAACTCGAAACCTAAGCCTCCAAATGGAATCCTTAGCCCGAAGCCCGAATCCTTAAACCGACGGCTTCACCTGTGTCGAGTCGTCCTCTGAAGTTCGTCCCTGCAGGTGTATGCATATGTTGTTCGGGTGGGAAAAAGCCAAAGCCAGAACCCGAAACCCAGGAAGAAGCAACAGGAAGAAACGCACTGCGAGGGAACAACTTCCAGACGTTTGGCGGACGGAAACCTACATCAGGAGATTCACCATCTCACTTTGAAGTTCTCATCTCGAACGGCCCGGAAGATGGCCGAACCAAGAAAGCCTGAATCCCGTCCTTGAGTGCTGAACTCGCATAGCTGCTTGGAACCTTGATGAGAGGATTGCTTGGAGCTCGGAGCTTCCCAGGGCTCCGACACAAGCCTGGCCGCGCGGAAAGAGGCGTGTTGTGAGTAAAGACGCGCTGTGGATGAAATTTTTCTCTTGCCCTTGCTCCCCCTTAAACCAAGACCTTCATAGGGATTATAATCGGGGGTATTCCCTATTGAGGGCTGTGAGTTCAAGGGGGTTTTTCTAATCTTTATCTCCGGTAGTACAAGGGGGAACATCCCAAACGATTTTAAAAAAGTTGGCAGGCGACGCGGCCTGGACATGCCATGGGCATCATCTACACCTCCGGAACAACGGGCAACCCGAAAGCCGCACCATGCCTGGATCACATCATGCTTGGAGGTTCGTGAGTAGGATTAGAAGTATGGTATTTACACTTATCACCCCACTTAGGCTACTTATAACCCTACTTCTCACTACCCATGAACTTTCAAGTAGAGGGGAGATTCGGGGGAGCATCCTCTGAGGACATGCTTTCGTGTGGGAATTCGAATTTGTGGCATGGCGCAGGGCCCGACTCTCACATGTAGGTGGCAGGTATACATCTCAGGTCATGGTGCACCACGATGCCGCTGTCGCCATCACCACAATGGCAAGTCAAGCCGAGACGGGTGCTATGCAAGGTAGGGCTCGGGCAGGGCAAACATGGCTTCGATGAAAATTCGATGAAGACAGCCTGGTCGTGCTGCAGCAGCTCGCAGCAAGTTTGAGAGCTGGAGAGGGGGGCAGTGCAGCTGCTACGCCATCCCTGTGCCAGGATATCCAGCGCGGATTTTGTCGTACCTTCCGCTCTCGCATGTCGCCGGTTCGATGATGGACATGTGGCCGCCCGTCCTGAACACTGGCGCACGTTGCATAATTGGAGGTAGGATGGTTGAGGTGGATCAACTTCGCAAGCCGGTTTTGTCGAGACTTGCCTTGCAGCACAAGTCCACACATCATCGTTATTGCAAGATGAAGGCCCTGCCACAAGTGGACTCCACGTTGCTGGGGAGCCGTGTCGAGTTTGCTAAGCCTACCCGTTTCACGGTTTGTAAAGGTTTAAGATTGTTACCCACAGCTATAGAAAGATTAGAATTCCACTTTCAGGTTTCCCATCTTGATGGCTGGCAAGAAGAAGCTTCACAGCACAATTTACTTTGCCCGGCCGTACGACTTGAAAGACATGACTCTGGCAGCCCGTATCCAGCAGCTCTTCTGAAGTGGAGGGATGGATGGTTTTCTTGGGCCGAAACCTAGGGTTTAGGGTTTAGGGTTGAGGGCCTAAACCCTACGCCCTACACCCTACACCCTACACCCTGCTCCGAGTCCCGAAGAGAATGGTCAGGTTTGTGCGGCCCACGGTGTTCCTCGGCGTGCCTCGTGTCTACGAGAAGATACAAAGCCGGATGATGGGCGTGGCAGCGGCGATCACGGGTGCAGCTGGGCATTTCCATGTGGGCGCAGGGCACTAGTAACTAGTATTGGGTCTGGGCTTTGACAGATGCAAGCAGGCGGTCGTTGCGTTTAGGCAGGCTCTTGCGGTGGGGAGAGGGGAAGAGGGGTCCCGCTGTCGTCCAAGCTGTCCAGGTGTGAAGAAGTCGATTGCCACGTGGGCAAAGGGAAAGGGGCTGGAATACTGCAGAAACATGCAGGCACGAGGCTGGGTTACAACCTCTTGGCAACTGAAGTGAAAAGGAGGAGACGTTGAACGCAAGGGTTTTGTGCCTCTGCCACAGCAGCCGTAGTTTGTTGATGCCTGTTCAAAAGCTGACATGAGTAGACATGTTTAAGAAGGACATGCGTACCCACATGCGCCCACCCTGCTAGGCTGGTGGATCCAAGGCCAAGCCTTTGTTCCATACCATTGCGGCCAGGGCGCCCAGGAAGTAGCGCAGCTTTTGGTGCTCGTTTTCAGCTTGAAAAGGCAGAGATGTGGGTGCTGCTCAAAAGCCATTGTCCATGTTTACAGCAGCTTTCCCCACGCCCTTCAGAAAGCCTATGAAAGCCTCTTAAACCCTGGTCCTGCCCAGGACAAGCTAATCCTCTCCAAAGCGCGCGACGCATTGGGTTTGGATCAGTGCAAGATCTTTATCGTAGGCGGGCGGCGAGCCATGATCAAGTTAAGGGTCGAACATTCTCTTGGTCTTGGTATGGAGATTTGGTGACCTCCTTTTCGTGTCAGAACGCGCCATATAGGGGGGGCACATATCACAGCAGCACATAGCACATCGCAGTACCAACCCCCGAATTCCTGTAGCCTGGCAGGTGCTGCTCCGATTTCAGCCGATACCCTGGAGTACTTCGGCCAGCTGGGCATGATGATTCAGAATGTTTGGTGGCCCAGGGGCGGTCTAAGAGCCAAGGGGTCAAGGTCTAAACGCCTAGGAGCTGTATAACGACGAAGCTTAAGATGGAATGGACATCGGCCCGGGATCCCATCCGCCTGCCTCCTGCTTGGTCCTGGTTTAGTTTCGGCATGCTTTAAGTAGAAATCGGTTGATCAGATGCCGCAGCGCTCAGCCAGATCGTAGCAAAGTGAGGCAGACAGACAGGTAGTGTCATTGCCCCCCCCCCACCCCCCCGCCCCCATCGCGCTTGCCGAGGTTTACGGCATGAGCGAGTCTTCTGGGCTCACCACGCTCTGCCTGCCGTTGTGGAACGCCTTCGGCACTGTCGGCCAGGTGGATGGGGATTCGGGATAGGCCACGAAGTGCAGGAGAGCAGGAGAGCAGGAGAGCAGGAGAGCAGGAGAGCAGATCTGCATATGCAATGCGGGATGAATAGCGCGGACGGGGCGTGGGGGTCTCCCCCCCCACCTGATATCGAGATCTTTTGCATCAATAAGGAAAGCGTCGAGCATGTCTGTCTGGATGAACACGTTGCAACAGGTTACTACGAACAAAATAAAAAATGCTTTACGTTACCTTTGGTTTACAATTGATGAACTTCCCGAAAGATTGTGCAGCGCAGAAAAAAGAATCGCCACAATTTCAGCGCCTCCAGCTTCGTACTTCTACTACAGTAGTAGCTTTGTCTCGCACTAGAAGAGAAAATGTTCCGAACACCTCGGGATTCTGCGGAAATTCGTCAAAGGCTGGCCCTAGGATTTTGCACACTTCTTTACCACTTGTTGCGGAATGCAACTCGAACTAATCGCTTGCGGCGGAAGAACGTTTCCAATGGTGTCGTTGATCGCATTTGGATTAACTCTGGGGCATGCTGTACTTTACAATATTTGGATCATTCATGTGCAGAGTTTTGAACATGCTGGGAAGTGCTGCAGCTTACAGCATCTTGCCTGGCAGTGATTGGAGCTGCCGAGAACCCGGAAATGCTGCAAGAAGTGAACGTACGAATGTGGCACTAAGGGACCGAGAAGAAATGAGAAGGATGCACGGAATGAGTTAGGTTTTCCACGACTGCAGCTCATTGTTCGGTGTGCAACACGACAGCCTGGTGCAGGCGTTGCCCGGCATCGAGGTTAAGTGTTTCAAGACTGGGCCGAACGGAGAAAACGTGGAGGCCTGGAGACGGCCGAGACTTGAGAGTCGCTACTGTTGTTGCCAGGTCAGATGATCAAGCTCTTGGGTTGTCAGGTGAATGGATGGACGTACGGTGAAGACACGAAATCGACTGTAGCTTCACTTTCTTCCAGAACAAGTATGTAGTTGCATAATTTTCAACATAAATATATAATATAGCAATATAGTTACCGAAACAAATCCTAACCGGCAACTCTTCTCGGACAGCGGGACCTGCCGCCAGGTCCCTCGATGTCAGCCGGGTGCTAAAGTGGAGCCTCGCGCATGTGTTTGACGCCTTGGGTTCCTTTGTTCTGGTTGATGTCAAGGGACTACTAGGCTGAGTTCGGCTACCTGACTCCCATGCCCCATGTTCCCTGGTGCACGGCTTTGGGATTTGGTTTCAAGGCTTGTTTTCATCGGGTGTCCCATTGCCTGCCACTTTTTTGTTGACTTCTGCTGCGTTTCTGTTGCCTGAGAATGATGGCCTCCCTTTGAGTGTTTGGGCCACTGGTTCTTCTCATGCTTATCAAGTCATATCATTTGCCAGGTGCCTGAGGATTTCCAAGGACGCTCGGATGCCAGAGATGGCACGGTTCTGCATGATGGAACATGATGTCACGTACTTCTGGGTACATCGCAACATGCGCGCCACGGCCCAGAGGCGAAATCTGCTTCCGCGGGCAGCTCAGGAAGCGGAGATATGGTTTGGGTTTTTGGTTGTACTGGGCTCCGCTCACCAATACTTCGGATGGTATAGTGATGGTATTGTAGCATGTTGTACCGGTGCTTTGAAGCAACATCCTGGGTCGCGAAGAGTTGCGTAATGCACTCCACCAGTTCGGACCGTCTCAGCAGAGAGAGCTATCCCTTCTCGAATATATATGTTTGTCACAGCTTCCGAATTGTGAAGGCGTCCTTGCTAGTGACAGGTGGTCGGCACATCATGAGCGGCTACATGGCCAATCCCAGGCATGGCCAGTTTCGACGGGAAGCCAGCTCTGCGCATTGTGATGTGGGAGTGCAGGCGACGGATTGAAGACCGGAATATACTAAAAGCCCGTATAAAAACCATGGTTTATTCTGACGGGCCTTTGGTATATTTCGCCCATGTGTTCACGGTTTCGTACTTCGTTCATACATTCACTCCATTTCGTGCTTACATTCACTACGTTCATTTCATTCACTTGTATCTGTTGAGATTAGTTGAAAGAAGATAATAGTGTTTAAGGGGCGCATAAAAAGAGAATACAAAGAGCGCCCCGTTAAAAGCCCAAAAAACTAATATGGAAATCATGCGTCTTTCATCCTGATATTTCCATTATAAATTTTGTATGGTCTTTTAGTACTCTTTCACTTCGTTCTCACATTTAAATTGAATTCGTGCGTCATGCATTCCTTACAATTCAATTATAATATGTTCTCTTCGTAGTAATATCATAAGTGAGTGAAACGAACCCCTGGGTTATCGAAAGCCTGCATGTGGCAGGTTTGGTGAGGCTCACATCAACGTGCGGCACTTGTTTCGGAACGATGTTGCTTGGGGCCCTGATAGTTTCTGCAGCTTTGCAGCAGGAAATCCGAGAGAAGAACTCGAGCACCATCGACAAAGAGGGCTGGCTGCACAGTGGCGACAAGGCGTAAGCCAGCTGGCTAGCTGCCTGATCCCACTTCTGTGCTTCACATGTCGTTTTCCTGCTACAGAACGATGCCCCAGCACAATGAGCTGAAGGTTTTAAATCGTAGATACACTGGCAGCTATTTCCGGCGGAGGAGGGGGGAGGGCACCCTGCAGTCGCACAGGGCTGCATGGACACCAACGGTGTCTTTCGCATCACCGGCCGCTACAAGGAGCTCATCATCGGAGCAGGAGCGGAGCTCGGACTTGTGATTGACGCACTTTTTAACTCTAAGAGATCCCGGAGCTGCCATCATGAGTCACAGCTTCAGACTGCCAGGCGGGGAAAACATCGCACCCGTGCCAGTCGAGGACATTGCTTCAATTTTGGCTGGGGCAATTTGGAGTCATGGCTTTGATATCTGGGTGATTTCTGCAACTGGGTCGCGTAGGACAAGATCAAGCAGCTGGCCCCAGCCCTCTCGAACGCCATAGGCTGAGCAAGGATCGAGTTGCTGTCTGGCATTGTCTATCATTGGCATATTGGTTGTCCATAACCGCGGATTGAAGCTTCATCGAAGCTGAGCACCTCCTCAGGTAATGATGGTTGGCGACAACCGACGCTTCAACGTAGCCTTGGTGACACTGCTGGCGGAGGCACGAGGTTTTCCTGAGCCTCAACGCCGGAACAGCCAGATACAGCCAGCCATCCTGGTAGTATCCTGGCACTCGTAAATGACAGAGAGATAGAGTGAGCACGCGTCGGGGTTTGCACACAGACTGGTCATGCTAGCTTGCAGGGTGCGACGGGCGAATTGCCCGGAAGCGACGACCTCACCGGTGCAGCACTCGAGGCGTTGGGCTGGTGGATTCGTGAAATACACGGGGGGGCAGTGCGAACTCACATCGTCCGAGTGCGATGCCGGTGTCAGTCGGCAACGCCCCCGCATGTTGTGGCTAAGAGGCAGAGCCAGAAGAGAAAATGTCATGTCGATGCGGAAACGATCAGAAAGCCCATAGAATTTGGTGGGGGCGTGTGGGGGCCTGACGAGTACTCCCAGCGGCCCTAGTCGCCGCCAGTGGGAAACGACCACGGATGTAACCTCATCATGTGCGGGGCATACTTTGGCTAAGCGTTCCTTCGAGATTTACATGATTTCGCAACGAATTCGCTGATATTCGCTGCTTTTGGTAAGTGTAAAATCCATACGTTCCCTCGGGGAAGGGATGCCGCGGTGGACCTCGTCAACTTCCTGAGTCCTCTGCGTTCATTGGGGTTTCAGGTTCATCCGGCCAAAGCGGTCAAGTTTCCTGGACCGTTGTAGTACCCTAAACCCTAAACCCTAAACCCTAAACCCTAAACCCTAAACCCTAAACCCTAAACCCTAAACCCTAAACCCTAAACCCTAAACCCTAAACCCTAAACCCTAAACCCTAAACCCTAAACCCTAAGCCCTAAGCCCTAAGCCCTAAGCCCTAAGCCCTAAGCCCTAAGCCCTAAACCCTAAACCCTAAAGCCTAAAGCCTAAACCCTAAACCCTAAACCCTAAACCCAAACCCTAAACCCTAAACCCTAAACCCGCCCGCCACCCCTCTCACCTCTGTTGGGGTAGGCGGGCGCAGTCGAGCGCTCAGCGAGACCACGGCAGGCTCTGCTAGGCTGCAGAGCCTGCCAGGCACACTCCTGAAAGGGTCGCCAAGCTTGGTCGCCAAGCACTGTCACAGATATATTGTATTACCCTAAACCCCAGGGGGGGGGTCCTTTTTCAATTCCCTGGCTGGTTCGGCCCAGGCCTGACCCTTGGCCCTCTGGCCCTCATTCTGGCCCTGGTTCTGGTTCGGCTCTGGCCCTGGCCCTGACCCTGGCCCTAGCCCTGGCCGGCCCCGGCCCTGGCCCTGGCTCTGGCTCTGGCCCCCTGACCCTGGCCCTGACCTGGCCTGGCCCTGGCTCGCCCCTGGCTGGCCCTCTCTGGCCCCTTGGCCCTGGCCTTGTTGATTATGGGTCTGACCCCGACCTCACTTCCCTACTGCCCTGACCCCTGCTTGCCAGCCAAAGGCAAAGCCCTGCAAATTTTTCTATGAGATGGCCCTTGGGCGCAGACCGTCCCCTGCGCAGATCTCGCGACACCCGTTCCAATTTATCGATAACTAGACCAGCTCACGCCCTGAAATTTTCTATGATAGGGCCCTTCGGCCCAGACCGTCCCCTGCGCAAAACCTCACGACCCCGGTCTTCACCTGTAAAAAACGTTCTCGGCTCCTTTTGCAAGGGAGTTGCCTTTCAAGGGACCTTGGCACTCCTCAAAAAAACGGAAACCTTTCACGGCCCGGAATTTTCATGAGAGGGCCTTTCGGTTCAGACCGTCCCCTACGCAACAGCCTGAAGGGGGGGGCATCCTCTGCCGCCATGACTGCGGCATCAGATAAACATGTGTAGCATGTGTCACGTGTGAATTTTGAATGGCTTCGGCTTGGTTTGGGCTGGCTCCGGTTTGGTTCGCAGTGAGTAGTGTTTGGGTGGTCTTGGGGTGGGCATGTCTGCACACAATTGCGTACAGCTGACCACTGCTACACCCTAAACCCTAAACCCTAAACCCTAAACCCTAAACCCTAAACCCTCAACCCTCAACCCTCAACCCTCAACCCTCAACCCTCAACCCTCAACCCTCAACCCTCAACCCTCAACCCTCAACCCTCAACCCTAAACCCTAAACCCTAAACCCTAAAACCCTAAACCCTAAACCCTAAACCCAAAGAGCCCATGCATCGCTGTAGCCGTTTAAATGGCTCCTAAGAGGAAATTCCTGAGTGCCAACGCCGTTGCGCGACTTAGTTTTTTGGATCTCTCCGGGCAACGCGCAGCATGGGGCATCGCATTGCTAGACGCGAGCGACCAAATCGGCATTCTGGAAACCCGAGGAAAGCTTGCCAGAACCATCTCCGCGGCGTTGAGGATTCCATGATTTGCGGTGTTTCTTCGGCTCCATTGGTCTGCCTGGAAGCCTGCATCTTTGCCTCCTCGCCTTCTTCGCGCCCTATTCCCCTCCGCTACCTTCGCAGCCATGGCTTCAGCCCGCCCCGCCGTGGAGGTGTCCTCGTTGCTCGTCGCCGGGCGGCGCCGGCTGCGCAAGCTGTTCCACGAGGAGACACCTCTGCTTCCCCTTATCGACTCGTCCTCTCTTTTCGCGGTTCTCCTTCCTTTACTCCTCTCTGCTTATTTTATACTTGTGGAGACATGTCGCTCGATCGCGTGCCCTCTGAGGAGCTGGCCTGCTGCGCTCCGACGGCTCCTCCTGAGGTGCAGCGCGCTTCTTTTCGTGTAGGTTTCCTTGGGAAGGAAGTCTTTGCTAGCGCTGTCTTTCTCCCTGCATTTTGTCTGGTTTCTCGGGCGCGTCATTGCGCTCACGCATTGCATGTTTTCCACACGCGCAGGACAGCCATGCGCCAGCAGCAGCAGTGGTCGCGGAGGAGGCTGTGGCGGAGCACGTGCGCTTGGGGATCAACCCGCCACCTAAACCGGTGATCAAGCGGATCCTCAGACTCAAGCGCACGCCGCCATACGCCGCCGCAGCCTCCCCGCGGGCCTTGGAAACTTTGCAAAGCGACGATCCCGGCGGCCAATCGATCTCGACTGGCAAGAGGCGCGCTTTTTCATGGGCATATCTTGTGCTAAGCGTGGCGAATTTTCACATTTCCTCTAGACATGTCTCTTGCACTGTTTCTCGCTGATGTTGTTCTGCGTCCGCTGCAGGTTGTCTCTGTGGGTCCGTGTTTGTTTCTTGCGTAGGACTACGACAATGTGAGGGCGGGCTGGCACGCCATGTACCTCAAAGACGTCGCGGAGGACCCGGGGCATGTTGCGACAGTGATTTCTAGTGCTTTTGCTCGTTTGTCGCGTCCTTTGTTTCGCAGCAGGCGGAGGCAAAGGAGAAGGAGGCGGCGACGGAGGCTGCGAAGGTAGCGGAGGAAGCGCCGGAGAAGGCGAGGAGGCAGACGCCTCCAGCAAAGGGCCGCCGCCGTCGTCGTGCTGCTTGTCTGCAAGAATCTGTCCTGGTCCTTGCGGTCAGATGTCTGACTACGTGCATTGGGGCTGGCGTCGTCCTGTTTCGCTGGAATTCCGAGGCGAGCGGAGCAAGCGCGCCCGCCGCGCGATTCCAAGGGGACAGGAGGAGGGGGACTACGTGGCGGAGGCTGCGGGTGTCGGACCCTTGGAATCGCCGGCGGGCGAGGCGGCGGCGGCCCCGGATCAGGATGAGGAGGGTGAGCGGGTGGTCGGCGTCTACGAGAAACAGTACTGCGACCCGGTGTAACTTGTGGCTACTCGTTTTTGCACATGCTCGTGCACGATTCTTGGAAGAAGCTGCGTACCTGTCCGTGCAACTAAGACCTGAAGAAGATGGAAGGGCTCGACCACCCGCTCACCAGCCTGCAGCTCAAGATCCAGGAGGCTCGTTCCACGTGCTTTTGAACCACCTGCCCCTAACGGGTAAAGATCCTGGAGCTGCGTTGCCTTCCTCTGCTCGCCGTTGCCAGGGCCTACACCTGTTCCGGGAGGCAGAATTAAAGAATCGAATGGCGAGCGTTTGCTTCCGGGCCAAAACTTGGTCGAGATGCGCGCTCGCCTGGCCGACCTAATTAAGGAGCGCCAACGCCTTTTGAAGCAGTATCGCATGTGGCGATCGAAAGGCGGCGGCGCTGAATTGTGCCGCATCACCGCCTGCACTGGGTTGCACGTAAATTCGCACGGAAGACTGAGGCGGAGCGGAACGCCATTTGGTTCTCTGCCAAAGGTCGCGTGCGGCGTGGTCCGCCGTGCCCGCGTGCGTGTGCCGAAGCTGCCACGTGTTCGGGAGGGACGAAATATCCCTTGTACAGAAGCGCGGCGAAGGATTTAGGCGAGGGCAGTGAAGCTTTCATCAGACTCTTGCTGGCCAGAGGGCCCTTTCAGGCAAGCAGTCGCTACGCGCCCTGTAACGCCCTTTTGAAGGATTTTCCGGACGGCAATGTCCCTCCCGATTTTCCTTTGCCGGAATTCGGATCCGCAAGACTTGCACGCGGCCGGGGTGCTTAGGAGGGCCTGGCTGTAAGGGAGGGCGGCTGTGCAGGCGCCGACTGGACGATGCCATAGGCGCGGCCGACCCGTCTCTGCAGGAAGATTTCGTTGGCCCAGTAGACCTACCTAAGCCTTTGCGGGCACCGGACCCCGGAGTCGCACCAAACAGTGACTCCGAGGATGACCGGCCTATGCCTGCGGTTCCCAGGGGCAAGGCTCGAGACGACTTGCGTCTGCGCTTTGATCGAGGTATGCTCGACCATGCGCTTCGGGAGCCTTGGCCTGGCGCAGAGGGAAGCAAGGGTCAGGCGTGAGGATCCCTTAGAAGCGTAGATTGAAGACACTTGCCCCAATAACAGTCCCAGACCGATAGCAAACTATACAGTAGTCCACAGGTTCGTAGGCACAGATATTGCCAGCGGCACCTGAACGGAAGATTTCCGGATCCTCCGCCTGTTACAGGGAATGTAGCGACTTGGGTTTTAGCATACACAAGACGGCACTGCGTGTGGCTACCTAAACAATATTCCTTCCAAGCGTCATTGGGAACCTTTGTAGTTTGTGTTTAGGCTTCGCCTGGCGAATTCGTTTTCTGCACCAGACTTTGCGGAATTCGTTTCTGCATGATCCTTTTGCCTTACGGTTGCAGCCCTTGCAGTCCTTACACGCCTTACACCCCTTACAGCCCTTGCGGCCCTTACACCCCTTACACCCCTTACACCCCTTACAGCCCTTACACCCCTTACACCCCTTACACCCTTACACCGCCCCATACCCTAGCTTCAAACGGGTTAACCAAAACAAGGAACTACAATGGAGACTACAGGTAGGCTAGTATATCTGCTGGAGTGTCGTGAAATGCATGAGATGCGCCCTTCAGCCCAATATTGATGTGACTGAGATGGCCCGCTGTACACCCTAGACCCTAAAGCCCAGCCCCCAAAACCCTAAGCCCTAAGCCCTAAACCCTAAAACTAAACCCTCACCCCCAAACTCTAAACCCTAAAGCCTACACCCCAAACCGTGGTTTATGGACAAGGGTTATGCCGGGCGTGGGAAACATCTGGTATGCGAGTCTCGGGGGTTTCGGTATCAACGTGGTCTGCGATTTTCGGTGTGGTGTGTATTCGCTGTTGAGCGTGGGTGTTGAGGGTGTCATAGATGCAGCTTGTCGCTGCGTTTAGATGGTGTTATACATGTTTTGGGAACGCGTCGAAGTATGTGTCGGGGATGCGGTCTTCGCTGCGTTTAGATGGTGTTTGACATGGTTTTCGTGCTGTTGAAGTATGCAATAATATGATGTCACACATGCGTCGTTTTGCTGCGTTTACATGGTGGTTGGCATCTTTTTGGTGCATTTGGAAGGTTGCAAAAACCACATGAAACCTGTGGCTGGGACTTGCGTTCCCTCGGGGAAATGCTTCTTCCAGTTCATGGTGGATAACATGTGTGCCATTTCGTGCTGCGTTTACTTGGGGGAAAATTTTGGCGGGGACTTTTGGGGGTGGTGGCTGGACCTGGGTTCCTTCGGGGGAAAGCATCCGGAGGCAAGGTGGAGGGGACTAGGGCCGCCCGCTGTAGCTGCAGTGACTACAGGGCGGCGACATTGCATGTTCGCAGTCGGAGGATAAACGCGGGTTTTTAGTCTTTTCCATGGTGGCCCGCCATCATGCACATTTGGTTTGGTGGGTGGGAATGTTGAAGATAAGCTCAGTACCTAATTCCACCACTGGACCCCTACAATGTCTGAATTGCAGGGGGGGAAAAAAAGAGGCTAGCTGGGGGGGTATTGTTGATGGGCGACAGGTCCCACGTGTCTAGCATGTCTGGGTGCGTTCATGGTGGCTCAATTTCGATGCTCAACGAAAGGTCGGCAGGGGGTTACCCACAATTTGAAGGGTTCCAGAGAGTATCACCAGAACACATCCAAGACAGACTTCGCAAAAGTGCATGGCAAAGAGTGCCAGAGGTTTCCGCATCGATTTGGTTGCATTTCAACATATCCCATATGGTCGTTTAGCATGCCAATGTTGGGGCAGGTGAACCCAGCAGTGAAGACGATCTCCGCTGCGTTGAAGGACACGCAGCTTTGTCTGTGAACATTTGAGGCTCATGAAAGTTGCCCGTTTTCACGCTGGCAAGAAGGAATCATGGCGCTCATGACACGACAAGGGTCCCCTGAGCCTTTGTCGTGTTATAGTCATGCCATGTCATGCCATAAAAATCATGCGAAAGCAGTTTCGTGTCCGTGGCTCATGCAGCCATCCATTGCCAATGAGAACGCTCGTATAGGCAAAAAGGCCTGCTTGCCATAGTCAGGGTACCTTGCTTCAAATCCGGCGTGAGCACAGGACCCAGCCTGGCAGAAGTACATCCAGGATGCCATCGATAAAACAAATTCTGACACGCAGCTCGGCAGACATGCCTGACATCAATGATGCAATCATCATGTAATCTACAGAGGCCGATAGAGCACTAGCCAGCCACTGAGGACGGTTTGCCAGAACAACGCCTGGAAGATTCAGAAGTTCGCCATTGCTTCAAGGGATTTCTCGGTTCAGACAGGCGGGGTTGTGCGTTGTGGCCAGGTGTTCAGTCTAGTGAGGAACTGCAGCAAAGTTCCGGTTTGCGGGCTGACTTTGCTTTGTCTGGAAGCAAGTGGCTTCACTTGCCTGACGATGATGACGATGATGATGATGATGACGACGATGACGGCGACGATGGCGACGACGGCGATGATGATGACATCAGCTATCGTCTGATGGCAGCTGTTCTCCATTGATTTGCTGTATGTGCACAGACTTACCGGGTGCGAGGAGAGTTTACACCAACAATGAAGTTGAAAAGGTCTGTGGCCGAGGAGCCGAAGCTGGTTTTTAATGTTTGTAGGTGTCTCGGGCTTGGGATGCAGGATTTGGACATTCGGTAGGAGTTTATGGGGAAACTAGGCCACTCTGGACTGCAACAAAAGAACCCATGTCAAATCCGCGGCCTGACTCTAGCACCCTCAAGCCCCAAAACTCCTCCACAGGAGATGTGGAAGGACCTCATCGACCCTCTGTACAGCTGAAGCTGCAGCGTCTTGGCACACGCTCTCGACGATGGTTGTTCAGCCCTACCCAGATCCCAACCTTTAGCTTCCCCATGCTGTCTCGCCACACAAAGAGAATCAGCCCAACTTGCTCTCGTCTCCTTGTGGCGTTGGGGGGAGCCAGCTGCCTCCGACCTCCCAAGGTGAGGTGCATCATGGGCTGTCGCCTGTGATGACTTCGAGACCTGCGCTCCGCAACGAAAATCTGGGGCACCGCAGGGTTGCCACACCGCAAATGCGCGTCGCCAGAGCGCACAGGAGACGCAGGGTTCCGACGGATTTGCATGTACATGCGAGCAAGCGTTTGGAATTGCCCATTAGCCATTTCGACCTCCGGCGAACAGCCAGTGACCCTTGCCATTCTCCCCGCCATGATCCATTTTGCATGGATTCTGGCAGCATGGGCTCCGGCCTCAGCAGCGGAGTCTCGCTGCCACTCTAGACTCTAGAGTAGTGCCAAGCAATGCCACGTGCAGATTGCCAGAATGGGTAAGTTGGTTCATGTCACTGAGTTGCCGTCCGGTACATGCCTTGATGCATGCGTGTATGTATGCAGGTGATCGCATGTATATATATATATATATATATTTGTATGTATATGTTTGTTTATTTAAATAGATTTGTTTTGTCTTGTGTGTGTGTGTGTGTGTGTGTTTGTTTGGGTTGGGCTTTCACGCTTTATTAGCCCTAACATTTGTTTTGACCAGCGCTTCCTCTCTGATTCTTATGTCCCTGCAGGGTATGCGGCTCTCTCTCCTCCCTCCCTCCCAGGAAAGAAAGACGGGCACGGAAAACACTGAAAGCGTAAGGTGTCGAGCACGAGCCCACCAGTTTTAATGCAGGAGTCCCTGCCCCTGGGTGAAAGTCGAGCGGCGTGCGCGCTTTGACCAGCAGCGTGGCCGAGCTCTTTGTCAGGGCTGGCTCCTTGTTTTTTCAATGGACGGACCACTGGTGCCGCAATGCTGAACCTTTTTGTGGCTGTGCTCTTTGTCAGGGCTTGATCCCTGGATTTTTCGCCCCCGTTTTCAGTAGGATCCCAACTTCTTCGTGGCCGGGATCTTTGTCAGGGCTTGATCCCTGGTTTTTCAGTGGGACCCCCACTGGCTATATGAGAATATTGTTATACTCTCATATTGTTATATCCTTCTATGATTATGTACTTATATTTAAATGGTATTACATGTTTATATTATTGCCTTATTATAGCATGATATTCGTGTGCATAAGTGTATGCGTATCTTATTATGTGTTCATATCTTTTCATGGAGTGGTGGCGCAGTCGCATTCAGTTGAATCGCGCGGGTTCAAAAATAGTTTTCGTAGTATATTACATTTTTTGAATTGCTATATTACTATTGTTACCTTATATAGTGTATTATTGTGTTATCATTGAATAATGTAAGTATTGTATTATGGTATAGTATGAAGAAATGACAATTAGTATATGATTTCATGATCATGATTTAATGATTACGCTTATGTTTCTATAGGAGTATATTACTATATTTAGTATATTTGTATATTATTTTATTATCATATTACCAAATCATTATAGGTCTACTTGAATCATTGTTCATGATTACATTATTGCAGCATTGCATAGTCATATCATGATTTGTTAAAACTTCGAATTCTTACATTTTATCTGTGGGAGCAACATATTTCCTGCACATGCATTCTCTCCATATATGGCCATTCAGACGCTCTCATGGAAGTTGCTTTGATTCACGTCGGCCTCGCACAGAGACGATGAGACGATTACTGGCTCGTGGCCCCGAGGTCGCTGCTGGCGCTGAGGCGGCGTGGGAGCTCGCTCATCATGGGAACAGAATCCCCTATTTTTTTCAGGGCCCCCTGATGACTTCAGCGTCAAATGCCGGTTCAGAGTCATTCCAGAGCGTGCAGGCGAAGAACTTGCGTGGCTTGATTGACGAAGGCCCGGAAGAAGGAGGCTGGCCAAAGCCCCGGCTGCCGGTGCAATTCTTGCATTCAATGCTTCTTGACTGCTCGGACGGGCAGAATGTTGTTGTTTTCCTTAGGTTCCCAGAACTTCGAGACGAAGTTGCCAAGTTTGTGCTGCTGGCAAACCTTAACGATCAGCGTGTGCACGCACACTAACTTCAAAAGTCGCTGGCAGGCAAGCAAAGCTATGCAAGCTCTGGACATTGAGGGAAGCCAAGGAGGCACGGTCTCATTTGAAGTGCTCTTCATGTTCAGATCGCCAGTTAGCAGGTTGGACAAGGGTGCACAGAGCCAGAGTACGCCAAGTAAGGACACAAGGACAAATGCCGACCAGCAACAGCAACGCCAGACAAAGAGAAGCAAAGACGCACTGCACCAAACGAGCTCGCAATGCTTCCTCATGCAAGGGTTCCAAGGCAAAGTCAACATGAAGGGCAAAGACAGGACAAAGACAGGACAGTAAAGGAGCGAAAGTCAGTCGGCACCTTTACTGTATGTAACTTGATTTAACATTTGCTGTGAGCAAATGCAACATTCGCTACGAGCAACGCTTTACTTACACTTTTTCGAAGCATGCTGGCATACACGTCTCGTGTTGCCGGGCATCTTGCATGCGCGCACACAACATCTCATTCTTCCTCTAGACACACGGCGTTGCTGCGACAAGCTTTTGTGTACAGTGTCAAGGTCTTCTTGTACAGTGGCAAGCGTAAAAACACACAGACAAGAACATTCCTTAGGCTTTGGTTCTTTCAGGGCGACTATTTGTAGTTGATTTTGAGTGCTTTTGCGAACTCTAAATTATATGGTGAAGTGAAAAAGTTAAGTTAATAGGTATGTAATGTGTGAAAACAAAAAGGAGTTCGTAAGTTTACTGGTCAGCTGAAAATATTCAGCTTAGTCCCAAACTTTAAAGCTTAATTAAGTCCAAACAAACTAAACAACAATTTCAAACTGAACGAAAAGCGTTTGTAGTTTGAATAGTTCGTCCAGATCAATGATGCAGATAGACAAGCAAACAATTATCGCTAGTATCGTTAGCGAAGAGATCCCCGAACAGTGTGTCAACACTAGTTCAAAAGTAATCCCCACCCCCGAACATTAACCCCCCCACCCTACCCCCTATATTGAATACCCCCCATTATAGTTCTATTATAGTACATTGGGGGGTTTTTAATATTAGGGGGTAGGGGGGGGTTTAATATTAGGGGGAGGGGATGGGCCAAGTCGATGTTCCTCGATACTGTCAGCGCGGTTCAGGCGTCTGGGCACACGAAATGCGTAGCAGTCATGCTTTCGGACTCCTGGGCTTGCGCAACGCAAAAGGGGACACCAATGGTGTGTCGCTGTTTGGGGTCTACGCTCGCCACAAGTATATTATGATGATGAACAAACCTGGGCCCTGGGCAAGGCACTCCATGACTTAGCGTTGGGTGCCGCTTGCATCCCTGGCTCAGCGGTAAAATTCAGATCCGCTTCCTCCTGCACACGTTTTGTGAAGCCAAGATGTGCGATGGCGCTTGGGGAGAGTTTCCGTTGTGGATAAATGCTCGCATTCCGAGCGCATACTCCCATCGGAGCTCTTCTCGAGAATTTGCATTTGGATAATCACAACTACGCCAACTATGCCCGGCTTGCACAGGGCTCTGCGAATCAACTCCCCTGAGCACTTAGACTTTAGACCCTGCCACTCCAGTGACTGAACCCGCCGTGAAACACAGCTGAGTTGGATGGTTGCAGGGTTCTGAAACAGTAGTATGAAGCAAAGCCCAAGTGTACAAGCAAGGCAGTCAAAAGCAAAGAGTAAAGCTAAACGCTGGCACTGCCTTCAGGTGCACCGCGGGCGGATATCAACACCACAGCGAGTGGTGAGCACTTGGTCGAGGATCCCAGGGCTTGTGTTTAGGGCTTAGAGGGTTTAGGGTTTAGGGTTTAGGGTTCAGGTTTAGGGTTTAAGGTTTAGGGTTTAGGGTTTAGGGTTTAGGGTTTAGGCGCATATTACGAAGCGTAGTCTGGAAGGAGCTTCTCAGCAACAAGAAGCTCACGCAGGAGGCAGGAGGTTGGCTGTGGCTGTTGGCCCTTGTGGATTGGAAGTAGCCTCAATCACTCCAATGCCCGCTTCGAGAACCTAGAACCTTGAGTTTGCTTGCACTGATGCAGCCCCATGCCCTTGTGATGCTGTCGACAGGTCCCTAAGCCAAGCCCCAAGCACAGCTCCAAATGCGCTCCGAGGTTCGTCTGAAGCCCAATGCCGTCGGCTTGATTGAAGCGGGCCGAATCTACGACATCTACATGAAGGCAACGGGCGGTCTTAGGTATTAGTCTTGGAGGCTGTGGGTGAGAATGTATCTATCAGCGGCATTGAACGACACATTTTTCGCATACATGAAGGAGTTGCATGGGATGTCATAAATAGGTCAGATCGTGGGTGGTCAGTTGATTGCCGAAGGTACCTGTGTTTGCACTGGGGATGTGTTGAAGCATGAGCATCAGTTGTACTGATATGATGATCGACAAATGTTGCTGCGAGATAGGCAGTCTGGAATTGGATACATCATTCACAAATGTTATTCGTCTTGATAAGTTCTGAAATGGGATAGACTGACTGTGACCCTGACATTTTGCATAGCCACGGCATTGCACAAGGCTGCTCAGTGACACTAAAGATCCCTTTTGTTAAAATATACATGCAGTTCTAGTTTTATGGTGGCTGAGTTGTTCTTCCCTCATTCTTTGCAGCCGGACATGTTCATCAGAAGGTGCCTGTCGAATGCTTTGGGTTCCTTGTCGCTCCGCAGTTTTGTCTTTGGGTTGAATGATTCATCACAGTACTTCGATGGCGAAAAGTAATACAGTCATACAATTGCATTCCTCTATTCTCACTTCTAACACTTTTTTCTAACGGATCCCAACATTGAACAGTTGCAAATTGACTAATGACTCTCATAATGCCATTGACATGCACCAATAAAAGTCTCAGTACTCAGAGATTGGCAAGAAGTGCAAAACACGTATTAATGTTTTAAATCAATTGCCCACACATGGTTGCAAACTAAGCACGTGCGCGCACACACACACACAAAAACAAACACACACACACACACACACACACACACACACACACACACACACGCACACAGAGACACGCACACAGAGACACGCACACAGAGACACGCACACAGAGACACGCACACAGAGACACAGACACACAGACACACAGACACACAGACACACAGACACACAGACACACAGACACACAGACACACAGACACACAGACACACAGACACACAGACACACAGACACAGACACACAGACACACAGACACACAGACGACACACAGACACACAGACACAGACACACAGACACACAGACACACAGACACACAGACACAGAGACACACAGACACACAGACACACAGACACACCGACACAGACACACAGACACAGAGACACAGACACACAGACACACAGAGACACAGAGACACAGAGACACAGAGACACAGAGACACAGAGACACAGAGACACAGAGACACAGAGACACCGAGACACCGAGACACAGAGACACCGAGACACAGAGACGCAGAGACGCAGAGACACAGAGACACAGAGACACAGAGACACCCAAACAGACACACACCACACACAGACAACACACAGACACACACAAACCACACAGACCACACAGACACACACAGACACACACACACACACACACACCCACACCACACACACACACACACACACCACACCCCCACACACCCACACCCACACCCCACCCACACCACACCCACACCCCCACCCACACACCACACACACAACACACACACACACACACACACACACACACACACACACCACACACACACACACCACACACACCACACACCACACCCCCCACCACCCACCCACCCACCCACCCACACACCCACACCCCCCCACACCCCCACCACCCCCCCCCCACACCCCCACCCCCCACACCCCCACACCCCCCACCCACACACCCACACAACCCACACCCCACACACCCACACACCCACACCCACACACAACACACCCACACCCCACACCCACACACCCACACACACCCCACACCACACCCACACCCCACACCCCACCACACCCCCACACACCCACCCACACCCACACACCCCCCACACCACCCCACACACCCCACACCCCACACACCCACCCACACACCCACACACCCACACACCACCCACACACACACACCCCCACACCACCACACACACACACACACACACACCCACACCCCACACACACCCCCACACCCACACACAACCCCCACACTACCCCACACACCCCCCACACCCACCCACACCCAACAACCCACCCACCACCCACCCACACCCCCCACCACCAACCCCACCCAACCCCACCCACACCACCCCACCCACACCCACCCACACCCACCCACCCCACCCACACCCACCACCCACCCACACCCACCACACCACCCATCCCACCACCCACCACACCCACCCACACGACCCACCCACACCCACCCCACCCACCCACACCCACCCACACCCACCACACCCACCCCACCACACCCCCCACACCCCCCCACACCCCCACCCCCCCCACACCCCCACACCCCACACACACCCCCACCACACACACACACACCCACCCCACACACACACCACACACACCACACTCACACACACACACACACACACACACCACACACACACACACACACACACACACACACACACACACACACACACACACACACACACACACACACACAACACACACACACACACACACACACACACACACACACACACACACACACACACACACACACACACCACACACCACCACCCACACACCCACACACACACACACACACACCCACACCCACACACCCCCACACACCCCCACACCCCCACCCACGTACCCACACACCCCCACACACCCCCACCCCCCACCCCACCCCACCCCCACACACACCCACACACACCCACACACCCCACACACCCACACACCCCACCCACCACACACACCCCACACACACACCCACCACACCCCCACACCCACCACCCCCACACCCCCACACCCCCACACCCCCACACCCACACACCCACACACCCACACACCCACACACCCACACACCCACACACCCACACACCCACACACCCACACACCCACACACCCACACACCCACACACCCACACACCCACACACCCACACACCCACACACCCACACACCCACACACCCACACACCCACACACCCACACACCCACACACCCACACACCCACACACCCACACACCCACACACCCACACACCCACACACCCACACACCCACACACCCACACACCCACACACCCACACACCCACACACCCACACACCCACACCCAAAAACCCTTAACCCTTAACCCTAGACCCTAAACCCTAAACCCTAAACCCTAAACCCTAAACCCTAAACCCTTAATCCTAACCCTTCGACACCTCATAGGACTGTCAGTATAAGGGGGAACATCCCAAACCCCGAAGCTCTTGACCTGCAGGATGCCCAAGTCGGCGCCGGGACCCATGTCTCGGTAGAGGAGAGCAGCTTAGGGTTTAGGGTTTAGGGTTTAGGGTTTAGGGTTTAGGGTTTAGGGTTTAGGGTTTAGGGTTTAGGGTTTTTGGTTGAGGGTTGAGGGTTGAGGGTTTAGGGTTTAGGCTAGGGAGAACAAATGCTTTCAAGGCTTTTGGAGTTTGCGCGGGCAACTCTTGACTTAGGGTTTAGGGTTTAGGGTTTAGCAAAAGGGTTTAGGGTTTCGGGTCTAGGGCGCGAGAAAGGCGTGCGGTTCAGGAGAGTCCTATGTCCAGGGTGCTCGGCTCTTACGACCCATGTGTTGTACATGGAAGGTAGCCTTCTCGAATCCATCTCGCGGTGTCATGCACCAGATACTCACCTGACCCCCAAACCCTAAACCCCAAAACCTAGGACCCTAAACCCCAAACCTGTGCCCCAGCCCCTGCAGGACGATGAGGTGCACTTCGTGGGCGCTTCAGTTGGGGTGAGCATGACGTATCATGGTGCTGAGATTGCACCATGTTTCGGGTTTAGGGTTTAGGGTGTAGGGTTTAGATGAGGTAACCTGCGCAGCACAACCACCAGTACCTGGCCTGTCGGGTTTGTGTTTTGCTTGTTCTTCTTCCTCTTCTTCTTCTTTTTTCATGCTTTGGCGGTTCGGTATAGTTAAAAGCTTATAGTCTAATGTAGTGGAGTATAGTTCAATACAGTTTAAGATAGCCTGCTAAAGGTTTGCCTGCCCGCCAGCCTCGGACAGGGTGCAGTGGCGCAGGGCTGCGCAAACGAGAGTCAGAGCAGTTTAGCAATTGACGCAATCGCCAAATAAAGATGCCGCCTGTACAAGCCTGCATGGGTTTACCATCTAGCACGGGCAGGTGTGTGACGGGAGACAAGCACAGTCAACTAGAGTCGAGATCGATACAGAGCGCTGCGATAACTCGCCGACAATCGTTGCACGTCTTGTGCTTCTCGCACATGTAGCGAGTGCTGTGCAATGCACAGCGTCCAAGTCAGTCACGTGACATGGTGGCCCAGTCCAGCATCACTACGACAGACTACATTCGACGAACCTGGAAGCTGCTCTGTTGCACTCAGGTCGTGGAAGACTTGAGCGTCCATGCGCAGCACTCAGATACCATGTGTTGTGTGTGCAGTGATTCCACGCAAGTGACGGCAACTCTCCGATTGCGAGCGAAATATGACGTTACAGGCTGGGAACCTGACGACACTTGACAAGCCTTCCAAACAGCGCGTATCTTTCTCCACCCAACATTTAGCACAACACTAAACTCTGAGACGTTTCATTCATCAGCCTTTTTGCAGACTGCATTTCTTCACAGACCCTACCAAAGTGCTGGAAAGTGCAGGACAAGCCACTATGTTACCTAATTCACACCATCCCGAGCAGACTTTCGTTTGTGATGAACGCCTGAGCCCTCTTGTTTCTTTGCTTCAGCAACAGCGCTTTCCCTTGTACATCTGGCAACAAACATAATTACTCCACGCATGAATTCCGCGAGGTGGAATGCAATTACGATCTTCGTCTTACCGAGTACCAGTACGGTGAGTGCAGGGCCTGGTTCCATTTGCCTGCCGCTGGTGCTCACATTGTCCGAAGAGTGTCCAGGTCAAGCACAGGAAAATAGTGTAGAATTGTGTGTCTGTGTATATGTACACATATTTATATACACATACATTTTATATGCACATTATATAAAAATTATATACAAATTTTATACATATTATATACATATTATATACATATTAGATACATAGATACATAGATACATAGATACATAGATACATAGATACATAGATACATAGATACGTAGATACGTAGATACATAGATACATAGATACATACATACTTACATACATACTTACATACTTACATACTTACTTACATATATACATATATACGTATATACATATACACATATATACATATATACATATATACGTATATACATATATACATGTATACGTATATACATATATACATATATACATATATACATATATACATATATACATATATACATATATACATATATACATATATACATATATACATATATACATATATACAGTATAACATAACAAATTAGATGGGTATAACTTCTTCAACCTCAAGTTTTACTAACGTCAATGGCAGGGTGGGCTTGTTTTTGCAGCACAAGATTTCGCTGTACTTCTTCGAGAGCTCAAGGATCCCGAAATTGCATCAGGTAGAAAGCAAGGCTGCGAGTTGTGATGCTGACCCCAAGGTCCGGCAAAGTTGAGGCGCGCTTGTGTGAGACTGAGACCAGCGACGGCCATGGCGGTTTCATGTGCTATCCAGGTCATGCAAATGTCATTGTACTACTGTATCTCAACCTGATGACGTGGACCACGTAGATTCACATCCACCCAGGTTCGGGAAGTCGATGATCCTGAGTTTCCCAAAGCAGGGGTCAGGACCTGGCGGGTGTCATTTCGGAAAGGGTGGGGCCCCAAGATCGCTTGCACGCGGAAAGGCGAGTTCAGCAATCTTGAGAAATGTTTTGTTTTTCGCTGGCGTATGGGACACGATGCTCGAGTGAGGCAGTGGAAAGAATTCCCAGTTGCAAAAATAGCTTCTTTTTTTCGCTGTGAACGAGAACTCTCTCGAAACGAAGGCCTGGACCTCGAAGTTCTCAGCGTGCCGGCCCCACATTCTCCAGCCAGTGTAGGGTTGTTGGGTTTAGGCTTAGGATTTAGGGTTTAGGGTTTAGGGTCATGGCCTGTTGAAGCGATGTGTCCACAGAGCGTCAACAGCCTGCATCCCTGATGGCTGTAGCTTCAGTTTTTCACTTCTTTTGGGCTTGGGCCTTGAGGTCTGTCGAACGAGTTTACAGGGCTTGGGCTAGGAACCCACTTCAACACACTGCATCAATCTATTGCCCCCCAACAACCTGACTTACATTTGTGGCAGGACAGTGTGGGACACTGTAAATCGCTTTCATCCTTCGAGTGCCGGAAGAAATAGGATCGAGTGCAACAGCAACTTTAGTAGTAAGGTTTAGGGTTTGTTGTCATGGTTCAAAAGTCACAGTCCAGCCTGGTAAAGGGTCATACAGTTGGCCCAACAAGTGGCGGGCATGGAGCATGCTGCAGCGGCAGCAGTGGAGTCAAATGCCCAGGCGACAAGTTCCCGCGATGCGTTCAATGTGGCCCGGCTTGTGAGAACTTGCCAGCTGGTTTTTGAAATCTTGGAATGGTTTGGGAGTGCTGACGCACAATTCTCACCCGAGCCCCATTCCCACATGCCTACTGCTTGTAACTGGATGACTGATGCAAGGAGTCAGGGGTGAGGTGTGTCCTGAGGTCATGATAATTAGGCTTGATTACTGGCTACGAAGCACGGGGAATGCATGACAGGAGCAGCGCTGACAAGTTTGCCTACTGGATTCTTTTTGTTGCCTGAAGTTCGCTTTCACCAGGTCGCAATCGTGGACATCCTGCTGCTGGCTTAGTCCATGCTCATGCGCATTGTTTTTTTGGTCTGTGCAGCTGTCGGTCCTCCCCCTGTTCGGCACCAAGGCGCCAGAACAGCCTTGAACTCCGCACTGAAATTGTTGCGGAGATGGAGGCTGGGATTAGTGGCGAAGTTCAGCGTTGGGTTCAAGATCCCAATCTGCCTGACAAGCCTGGGAGCTTCGCAGTTGGGCCAAGTTTTCTGGCTGGCGCTTCATAGGGAGAAATCCCTTTAAGGGATTATATAGGGCCCTCATTCCCTCATTCCCTTCTCAGAGAGAACCAGGGGGTCTTTCTTGCTCCAGGATGGCTTGTGCCGCAGTCTCCTGGAGCCACGCAGGCACCAGCAGGGGGCCTCAGATCTCTGCTGCAGAGCTCGGCTGTTGCAGCCTCGGCCAACCTGGAGGTTTAGGGTTTAGGGTTTAGGCTTTAGGGTTTCGGGTTTCCTGGCAGCTGTACGCAGTCCAGTTGCAAAAAGGGTTTAAGGTTTAGGGTCTAGGGTCTAGGGTTTAGGGTTTACGATATTCGGGTTTACGATATTAGGGGTACCTTATTCGGGGATCCTTGTTATAAGGGGATCCCACTATTTTGGGGGGTTTGTGTTAGCGGTCCCCCATTTTCGTAAACCCCAGCTGTCAACCCAGACCTTGAAGACATTTGAAGACCCATTGACGAAGCATTCAAAAAGTCACTGAAGGGCTTGGAATGCCGACTGCTCAATGAGAGGCCTTATTGGGGGTCCTAATCATAAGCGAGTCCTACCATTTTGGGGGTCTATTTTTAAAACCCTACACCCTATACCCTAAACCCTAAACCCTAAACCATTCTAGGGGCCCCCTATTTCCGTAAACCCAGATGCCAACTGCTCACCGAAAGGCCAGCATTTGTCCGCCAGCCACTTGTCGAGCCCACGCCTCAGTTTTCCCTCAATTCCCAACACACTTGGGAGAGCAGGGCATGGTACTGTAGGGCCTTGTGGAACCCTAAGCCGTAAACCCTAAACCCTAAACCCTAAACCCTAAACCCTACACCCTAAACTAGAAGTGCAGATGTGCTGGTCTCTGAGGGGCGAGTCGATGTGGCCTCTTGTCATAGGCGCCCTGATGTGCCGGTTCTCGTGGCCCTGCAGTTGTGAGTTGTGTGCAAAGGTTATCAGTCGGGTTTTGGTGTCTTGGAGCGGGTCCAGAACTCCATGCATTCTCGTGGACGCCCAGAAATTGCATTCGCCTCCAGCGGTTTGGCATGAAGGATGCCTGACGACTGCTTATGCCATGGAAGCTCTGAGACCAGTACACGACTGCATGCACTGCAAGCAGCTTTACTATGATTCTGTGATGTTTGCACGGTGCTGGTGCGGATGGCATTCTGAAGGGAGCGCTTTCGAAATACTTCATGAACGCCGAATGCATTCGGATTCGTGGCAGGTTTCGTGTGCTTCCTCCTTGGGTCGTTTTGCCTTGTGTTCATTGCCGGTCGACAAAGTGTCCACCTCGAAACTTGGATGTGACGATCTGAAAGGATTCAGGGTTCCTGCGGATCTGTTTCTGCGTGAAGTTTGTGGCATAGAATGTGAAAGGCAGTATCTACAAGCCTGTGACTGCGTGAGCCCACCCCAGAGAGGCCACCCCAGAGCTTTGAAACCCGTTGATACTCTTGCATGTGAACTGAGGGCATGTGCAACGACTGCTACCAATGCAGATGCTGCCCGTTTCATCTTCCATCGGTGCCAGCCATGTCCTCACCAAGAGGCCGGAGGTAGAGAGAAGCCCTGCGCAGATGCTGGTAGGGAAGAACTAGGCTGGCCTATGGATTTTGGAGTCACGGTCTGGGCCAGTTTGGCTGCGGCAGAACTGGCAAGCAGTAACAATACCGTGCCTTGCGAGCAGCAGTGGGGCATCATGGTACATGTTGCTGTTCGGTTTATTGTACCCCCTTAATCGTGAGACTCCGAAGGCAAGCAGCGCACCCTCTCTCATGATGAGGACGTCCTTGGCAGCCGCTGCGTAGTTGCCGAAAGACTCCTGATGGTTTAGGGTCTAGGGTTTCCAGAGCCAGCGGACATGCAGAGCCTGGGTTCAAAAGGCTTTAGGGTTTCAGGGATGTTCCCGAACATGGAGAACCACCGTACTAGCTCCGCAACGCGCCAGACCCATGGAGCCTCTTGCAGTGCCAACGTGCAGGAGGCACACACTAGCTCCGGCGAGTCGCACAGCGATGTGTCGGAGAACCAGGCGTGGCCTTGCTCGCAGCACAAAAACCCTAAACCCTAAACCCCAATGACCTAGCATGAGTCACGCGCTCCATCATCTTAAAGTGCAGCTAGATTAACCATTGGCTGTCTCACGCTTCGCAGGTACCAGACAAGCCCAACCACGAGAAATCAATAGAACACGTGCACGAAATTCTTTCACTGGCACGCTTTTCTCCCTGTTTGTGTCATACATAGCAACAAGACAAGGAATGCAACACGAACACACACACACATTCACATTCACATTCACATTCACATTCACATTCACATTCACATTCACATTCACATTCACATTCACATTCACATTCACATTCACATTCACATTCACATTCACATTCACATTCACATTCACATTCACATTCACATTCACATTCACATTCACATTCACATTCACACACACACACACACACTCATTCACACACACACACTCATTCACACACACACACACACACTCACTCATTCATTCACACACACACACTCATTCACACACACACACTCATTCACACACATACACACACACACACATTCACACACACACACACTCATTCACACACACACACTCATTCACACACACACACACACAGAGACAGACAGAGCTCGTATGCTGCTTGGTGCACAAGCCACGCAAACCGTCACCGAACTCCAAAAGGCATTGCTTGTTGTCGTGTAGCTCAAGCGCCCCCAGGGCCTTTAGGGGCTTGGTTGATCGAACATCTCATTCCCAAGTTGGCGGGCCTTTCGAAACCCACATACCCACGATTCTAAATCTTAAATCCTAAGCCCTGAACCCTAAACCCTAAACTTGCCCTAAACCCTAAACCCTAGAATATGGCAAAGAAAGATACTCAGAGTAGAGTTCCGAAGCAAGACATGGGCTTTCGCGCTCCAAAATACCGAAGGAAGCAAGACTGGCTAGCATCCCCAGAGTGCCCGTTTAGGGTTTAGGGTTTTGGGTTTTGGGTTTAGTATCCTTGAAGTTACCTGTCTGAAAACGGCAGGAGGGCTCCTCCATCGGTTCGCCGTAGGGTGGGGATGATCGAAGTAAATCTGAATGTGACGTTTTTTTTGCTCGTCTGTTCGAGTATGATCATTGCATCTTCCTGCCGTTGGAGTCGCAGTAAACGCGTACACAAAAGCACGCGCTCGACAGATGGCCAAGCGGTATTTCATCGGCATTGAGTTAGTGAGTCTTGCTGCATGAGTTTTTCGAGCAAACAAAATGAAGACATAGGGCACACACGCTTTGACATGCGGGAATTACTCGTAGTTTCTACCGCAACACCCGTCCTAGGGCTTTCGTTCGACTTCCCAGACAAGTTCGTCGTCAACTCTGGTACTTTTTGTGGAGCGAACGCAGCCACTTGAGATGAGGATACACATTCTTGACGAACATTTCCGTGTTCCGCCGCGCGTGCTCTGTTCTTCGTTTTAGGCTTTTCTCTTAAAGTCGTTGAGCCTTAACGTCTTTGAAAACGACAGACTTGTAGGGCCCAAACGACGTTAAGAATGCTGCAGAAGGGATCCAGCTAAAGTATCGGCCTATTCTGCTGCTCACCGCTCACTTCTTGAATATTCTCCCTTCGCCTCTTGTGACCTTCAACTTCACGATCAGAGGGCCTCTCAACTGATGCATGTGAAACACGAGCGTCTGAATACGTTGGCATGTTCGCAAGATCACACACACACATGAAGAGCCAGAAGAGTAAGAAACGCACCAGTTCGCTACCGCTTATGGAGCGATTTTTGGTAGTCGAAGTTCATCGAGAAGCCCCAGAAACCCAGCGCACAGGCCTTTTGGAAGGTAAGCAAAGAGAAAGAATGCTCTTGCTCTGCCTCTCTCTCTCTCTCCCCTCTCGGCTCTTGCCTCTATTGCTTAATTCGTGTGCAAGATCACGCTTGAAGCGAATACATGTCGAACGAACAGAGCGATTCACCTTATTCTTTCCTACATCATCAGACTTATGACACCTTCACCTTTCTCGAGCATTTTCAAGAACCTGCCATCTTCCTGAACCCGAAACCCCAAACCCTCAACCCTTGGGCAGGAGTTCCTGCCAATGCCCAATGTCATGAGCAGCCGGTCTCCCAGTCCTTCTGTGCAAGCATGTCACGAACTTGGCGGCGGGTTTCAATGAAGCACCCAGCCCCCCATCTTCTGCTGCGTCCCCGCTGTCTTCACAAGCACCATCAAGCACCCCCAAGTAACTTCATCTTGAACGCGGGTCGGTAGCTTCTTCTGGGCTCCCTGACATGGAGTGGTCTGGTCCAACGAATGAAGGGCAAGTGCCAAGTGCCAAGTTTGCTGCGAGGGTCTTGTGGCTTGTGGTGGCTTTAGGTGCTTTGCTCCACCCCATTCAACCGACAACTTTAACCGTGATTGAAATTAGTCAATGTCCAAGCCCCCCAATCGGCACAACACCCCTTGTTCTGGCTTTGCGCAGGTTTTCTCTACCGCAAATGAGCCCCACTTTAGCAGCCAACTTTCGCGAGTCTAGAAAGCCTTTGAAGCGCACAGCTGCGATTCAGGATTCTTACGTTCAGTTGTTTCAAGACCTGCTTTCCTCCCTAAACCCTAAACCCTAAACCCTAAACCCCAAACCCTGAACCCTGAACACTCCCTGAACCCTGAACCAAGGGCATGGAATGGTGTAAGGCACAGCTTTGGCTCCAACCGGGAATCCTGGGTCGCAAAACCCGTCTCACCCAAACATGATGACGCGGCAAAGCCCCAAAGCCGGCTTGTATATGCCGCGCTGCTAGATAATGCGCACAGAAAGAGAGAGACAATGACAAATGCAGTCGTTGCCCTCGGGCAGGATCGCAGCTGCATCAGAATCTCGAGGAGGGAAGTAAACCACCCCCTTTAGCCACAGCTTCGTCAAGCTCTACAATCATTGCTGTGGGTCCATATGGGCGTTCAGTGCAAACCCCTCCGTGCATTGTGAGTGGTCGACCCGGCATGCTCTTTAAGACTCTTTGATCATAGGAAGGAACTGTGAATCTAGAGTTCATGCCGATTCCGCTTTGTGCCAGCAAGCAGAAGAGCCAGCCCCTCAAATCATTGTGGTGGGGGAGCGCTCGGGGCCTTGTCAGGCTCTCCGCTTGGGGGTGGGGTGGGTGGGGTGTGCAAGCGACACCCTAATTGCATGACACTGCCAACTGTAGGTCTGGCTTCCACATACAGAATGTGGCATGGACAATGGAGGATGGTCCAACGTTTCCATCTTCATGGGTTTAATCTAGGGGGCGACAGGATGATTTGGCTGGACGGGTACAGGACTGCGGAGTTTGTGTAGTAAGTACAGTACAGTTTTATGGGCACTCAGATTTCGGGAAGAGAGTTGTGGTTCGATGGTTTAAGGTCAGCTGGAACAGCAGTCGCCGCTTGTCGTTCGCTTGGCGGCTGGGAGTTGCAGCCATGACGAGCTACGGTGTTCTGAATGACAATGCAGCTGTCTTGCAACCACCGACTTTTGTCTAGGTGTTCCAAACTACTATCGCACCTCAGTTCAGGTCAAGAGTTGAGCATCGGTCGCGGTCGCATTGTAGCCACTGCAATCAGTCATGATGCTTGTGCCTTCTCCCGCGCCCACCTATCCTGTGGCGCCGGTGCGGAGGTGGGTTCCGTGAGCAGGTCAGCGTAGCGATAGGCTCTGACCGACGGCTCTGCACACTTCCAAGCTTCTACCTTTCTCGATAAATAGTGTCAGGGCCCACCCTCCTCCCCCCGAATGGCCTCGGTAAAGGGCCGCACGAGATCTAAACCTCCAATCTGCTGCCAGAACTGCTTCTAGCTACCGGATCCAAAGATCAAGGTCCGCACTGTCAGTCGGTAGCCTCAAATCCGAGAGTCTCGCCTTGCCGTCATAAGTGCTGTGGTGCGGGGGCCGGGCTGGCAACAAGGGCAGCAGTCTGCAGCAGCCGAGTCCCTTGTGTAAAACGCTCTCATCATCCCACCCCACCTCAGGTTGCACAATGCAAGGCCGGAGGCACCACCGGCCACTCATCGGTTTCAGGATTTCAGGATGATCTTGAGCTGCCTGGCTCGATGCCTCACTTCTGCATAAGGGGTACGTAGTGCAACAGAGCGCGACGAGGTGTGCAACTTCCAGTCGACCTGGCGGGATGCACAGAGGAGCGCTGCCGGAGCCCTAGACCGGACAGGGGTTTAGGGTTTAGGGTTTAGGGTTTGCCCTGGCCTCACTTCCAGTCTTAAAAAAGGGTTTAGGGTTTAAGGTTTAGTTTTGAAGTTCGAAACGAATCGATGGGGACTTTTCTTGCGGAGTTTTGACTGCTGGAGCTGAGAAATGTTGAGAAGAGTCGAACCGCTTCCGACTGCACATCGACTGCCTCGTTGCCCTTCCTTGTGCCAGCGGAGTGTTGGAATCTCAGGGGTGCTGTTTCAATCACTCTGATTGAAGGTTTGCACGAGCAGGTGGCATCCCAGTAGCTATGGTCAACGCGTATGCCTAGATAGACCTTGACCATGGCCGAGTTACTCTGGGGCTGATATTGGGTTTCTACAGATTGATGCCTTCATCTTTTGCTCGCTCAGCAGATGAAAACATCTTAAGTTAGCCGCTAACTGTTAGCATGCATGAAAAGGTTCATGTTGGCGTGCGAAATACCATTCAAAACGGCGAGCATCTGGGCGCCCTCATTGCCACTTCAGCTGCGCACTCTAAATCCCAGCTGCAGGCGCAGCCGTGCCTGTGGCTACTATCAGGCCAGCTCGCAAAAACATATGGGGGTTTGCGAAAAGAAGGAACCCCTAGTATAGATCCCAAATGGTAGGATTCCCTTATAATAAGGACCCCAACAAGGTAAATTTCGGAGACCCCATAGGTCTTCTGTCTTGTATTGTCGGAAGCCATCCTCGCAAATTCCAACACGCGTGTCTCCGTACGCAGATGGGAGCAGCAGATGCATGGGCCGAACGAGAAAGTTGGATGTGAGAGCTTTTCCTGTTGACTTCGAGTAGATGACATCATTCATTGGGAGGCAGTTGCCTTCTGGGCTTCGCTCGCCGAGCTGTCCGTGGAGGCCCCCAGAATCTTCTGAGCAACCCTAAACCCTAAACCCTAAGCCCTAAGCCCTAAACCCTAAACCCTAAACCCTAAACCTACCTCTACGTAGGTGCAGCGAGCAATGGCCCGAAGCGGTGCGGAGTCAGGACGTGCTGCCCCCAGATGCACCTTGTCGAATCATGTCAGCACGTGTTCCAACATTACATGACGTAGGGTATATATTTCTTGTACCCCCCAAAAGGACACCAGGTATATACACTCACCAATATTAATTAAAAAGGAACCATATATGCACTCACCAAGAACAGTAATATGAACGCTGCTTCAGATAAAATTAGTGATGCCAGGTCGCGTGTTGCCAGGGCCGCTGGTGCTGTCGAGGTTCGTTCCAGCTCTGTGCACAGGTGACTTGTGACACTTGTGGCACAACACAAGGTCCACGCAGATTATATCAGGCTCTGAAATGCAGAGCTGCGAAAGACCCACTGGAGCTTGAGAGCATCTAATGATGAGAAAGCGCGTGGACAGACTGACTCGAATGCGAATACAAGCCCAGTCTCTTCTGGCCTTTTGACATGGCATATAGGGGTTTGAGGTTTTGAGAACGTTTTGCTCAGAGAAGCAAGCGTGTGAGGAGGGAGACACCATCGCTGTGGTCGGCGCCGGAGGGAATGCCACTAGCCAAGAGGCGTTTGGCGAGGAACATCTGGGGTACTCATCTGGGGTTTTGCTGTGCACCAGGGTAGGGCACAGTGAGGCTTCGCTCCTTGCACCTGTTTGTTTGCAGCTGCTTGGCTCTCAGCCGCAAAGTGCCACTTTGATTACGCCTGGCCAGAAGATGGCGGTCCCACATCTGCACAAAAGGGAAAGTATGCCGAACGAGACTAACCGGATCGGCATTGCAACTAGGCGCCAGGCATAGGACGCGGCGATGCAAAGGTGTCTTTCTGGCATGATCTGTCTGAATATGTCTGAATGCTGAGCCCAAGAAGCAAGCCACATCATTTTTTTTGGGGTTTAGGGTTTAGGGCCTTTAGGGTTTAGGGTTTAGAGTTTAGGGTTTAGGATGAGAATTGGAAGGGCGAAGAACAGCCGAGGTGGCCCCCACCTCGATGTCGATGCAGTCCGCGTCCACGGACCCGAAGACGGACCGCCTTTTCTCAGCTCGGGTTTCAGGGTTTTTGTCACATTGCTGCGGGTGAGGCCTTGTGGGACACCCCCCCCAAACTGGGACCTAAGGAATACATATGGCGCAGAAAGCGATGGAATGAAACGCATCTTCAATTCTAAGCTTGAAGCCTGCCTAGTTCCTGTATGAGGCTCCAGCACGTCTTACAACTCCCGCAGTGCTACAGCTCCATTGACAGAACTACGAGCCATGGCTGCCGCCCATACTCTAGCTGTGCTGTATAGCACGACGACGGCCCCTGCATACACCCGCAGCACACCGGCAGCCTGCTCCAGGAGCTCAACCACTTTTGCCAGAGGTATTGCCAGCGGCCCGTGACGAAAGCAGAGACTTGGCGCGCATTCAGCTCGCAGGTGCAAGATTGCTTTGCTGTTTCTTCTTCTTGCTACCAAAGGCACTTCAGCCCCACATAAACGCACGAGTGCAGCTGTTTCAAGTTCCGAGGATATCTCCTACACCACGAACAAGTTCGGGAACCAGTGGCTCTTCCTAAGGTTATGCTGCGATGCTTGGAGTGTTTTTGGGCGTCTGGGCAGAGAAAATTCGGGGGGCCGTTGGTATGTTGATATTATTTCATTTACTTTACTCAATTTATTTCAAGTTGTTTGAATGTTTAAATTCATTCTAATGAATTGACGTGTGTTTTGCTTTTTCGTTCAGTTAATTCATTTGAGATAATTCGAGTTAATCTAAAGTTGTTTTTGAGGACTTTTAAGGAACTTTGAAGTCGATGAAACATTAATGTAAGTTGTTCATTAAAAAAGATAAAAACACGATAACCCCAATTAACACGAGGTAGAATTACTTGAACTTAATACAATGAAATTATCTACAAGATGTCATTATATTACTATATTGTGATTTTATGGGGTTTTAGAGAACTGTCCTGGAGTTTTCAAGCTGGCGTTGGTGCGTGCGTGCGGGGTTGGCGCCTGCCCTGCTTGTCAGCCTTGCAAGCTGAAGTCTTGCACACTACTGGCCGCTATACTTTAGCATGTTCCCCCTTATAGTAGCAGTTCTTATGAGGGATTGAAGTTATAGTCCCTATTGAGGACTGTTGGTATAAGGCGGAACATCCCAAACTATACTGAGCATCTGCAGAACTGTTGCGGAACGGCAGCCAGGCAAGTAACTTTAACAGGCTCGAAAGCCGAAAGCACGCACTGGAGCAAACAGAAAGCCCCCTAAGCCCTGAAACCGGAACCCTTAAAAAAGGTCATAGAGTCGCCGGCGTTCACCAAAACAAGTACCCCCTGTCGTGGAGCGATGGTGCAGTCGCATTCCCGTCTGAGGCAGCAGCATAGCGCGGGTTCAAACAAAAGTACCCGCCCGCTCCCCCCCCCCCACTCTGACCCTCCCTGCCAAATTTGCTCATATCGCTTTGCGTGCTCAGGTTCAACAGTACATAAGTGGCAAATAAACTTCGGGAGGAGTGAAGCTGCTGTGCGCATGTTTGATGTTGTCAGGAATGACGGCACAAGCTTTTTTGCCGCTGGAGTGCTTTACCTGACCCGGTTCATCATTGTTGTCACTTGCACAGAAGTGTTTGCTAAATCGGTCCTTTTGGAAGCGTTTGGCGTTGCGCACGTCCCACCCCCATCCCTCGAAGCATGCACGACATGCTCTTCTCCAGAAAAGGGTGGGGGGCTCCTTTGGACCCGCCTCGAAGGTACCAGAGTATCGTGAAGCTGGACTGCATCCAGGCCTCCTGCTTCAGTTGCAGATCACGCTCACGAGCCACAAGCCAACACAGAGTTTGTCCTTGTCCAAACTCGAAGTTTCATGCCTTTGGACAGGGTCAGGAGTACGCGGGCCATCTTTGCCTCAACCAGAAGGAAGCAGCGTCTAAGCTGAGATCAGCAAATGCGACTGCGCGGAGTTCAGGGCCTGGTTGTAGACTTAGTTGCTTGACTGCGCCCGCGGGGACTAGGCGTTGAGGGTCATTCGGACTTGGGATCTCGAGGCAGCATCAACTAGCCGCTGCTAGCCTTTGTTGACTGGGTGCGGCCCAGGAAAAGTCTGCTGCTGAGCAGGCCGTCATGGCATTCCGCCCTCAGAGCCTTGGTCCCAAAGGTGGCACGATTTGTGGCCCAAGCTTGGGCGCATTTGGGCGCGCGGCGGGGTTTTCGCGCGGCATAGACTGATGTCATCCCATGGCTTCACATCGGTCATTCGGCCCCCTGGGGCTTGGTGGCTCACGGGGTTGTTCGGTGGCTGTTCAGCTTACTTGAGTAGAAGCCTAAGACGCCTCTTGCAGATTCATGCAGCACTCCGGCTCTTGGTTTTCAACTCCAACTCGGCCCCGTTGACCAAGAAACCCATCAGGATGTCAACGCTGCCGCCACCGGCGAGCAAGGCCCAGCTGCTGGTTTCAGGGGGGACTGCGTTGGCTGTGCAGCTGGGATTGGGGGCAAGCTCGGGACGCCCGTGCAGACGAAGGCCCCTAGCGCACGCACACGTGACACTGGTCCTTGCAAGGATCCCAAGAAGAAGAAGGAGAGGCCAAGGCCGGCAAAAGCGGCCATGCATTACAGTAATTGGTCCTCACTCTGAGCCCGCCAGCAAAATATGCACACCTACAACATCCGACAACCCACCCAAGGCTTACAGCCGCTGAGCTGGCCGCGAAGAAGGCCAAGCAAGCAGAGGCCAGGAGCCCTTGCGCCACCTGTTGGAGTTCCCCCGCCTTCCTCTGTGGACTTGTCATCGTCGTCCTTAGTCCCATACCATCATCCTCGTCATTGTTGTCGCTCCCATCAACATCACCAGCACCACCACTGTCAGCCGTCAGCATCAGTAGCCTCGACCAAGAATCCTCATCGTCGTCCTCACCCTCTTCCCCCAGCATCCTGATCTTGTTTTCATCACCATGTCGTTCATCAGATTCTGGCGATTTTGTATTATCCCGTCTGGCACCCTCAAAGCTCTCAGTGCTATCGCCCGTGGCAGGAAGGCGACAACCCCGCAGTGACACCGAAGACGAGCCTCGCAATCTTGCTTGCTTGTCAAGGGTTTAGGGTTTGGGCTTTGGGGTTTGGGGTTTAGGGTTTAGGGTTTAGGTGAACCCTTCAGTTCTGCCAATGGCTGGCTCACCCCCACCAAATGACAAGCTTGACTTTGCAGCTTCACGCTTTGCAAGGTCTGCCGTAGCCAAGTCTCCCAGCAACTTTCGTTCGAACTGCCCCATGTTGCAAGAAGTCCGAACTGCCATCCAGTCTCCCAGGAAGCTGAACGCCTTGGTCGAAGACCCGGAAGTTGGCTGTCGAGGGCTGGTTAGTCAGAAGTTGCTGCAATGGTCCGCTGCAGCCACTGCAACACACGCACACACATCGAGAATGTTCAAGGATTGTTTTCTCATGGCAGCTTGGGAAACCACGACCTCTTCAGCAAGCAAGGTGATGAAAATCGCAAAGCGCTACCTCCAGAAGGGCGAGACGATCTATGAGACCAAGACTTATGCCGGCGGGGGCCATCAGGCAGGGCAGCCGAACAATAAACCCTAAACCCTAAACCCTTAAAAAAAACCTAAACCCTAAACCCTAAACCCAAGTTGCGAGCCTTGTGGGAGGCAACAGTCCAGCTGAAGGCCCTGCCGGCTGACTGGGGAAACCGCGTCTGGGCAGGCCACGTCAGCTCCACGAAACAGAAGGCCGGGCTGCATAGGGTTTTAGAGAGAGAGGGTGCAGGGTTTAGGGTTTAGGGTGCAGGGTTTAGGGTTTAGGGTACAGGGTTTAGGGTTTACAGCTGAAGAACAGCGGAGGAGGCAATGCTGGCAGTCATCAAGTCCGGTTTCAAAAAGGGTTTAGGGTTTTGAGGTTTAGGGCTGCATGTCTCCATGGCGCATCGAGTCCTGAGACCAGTTGTGGGGGTTTCCAAAAATAGGGGCAACCCTTTTTTTGGGGGTTACTAGAATAAGGATTAGCGTACTTTGGGGGGTACAGTAGGGGCACCCCCCGATTTTGGGAAATGGCCAGTTGGCATGAGGGCCAGGTCAGCACAGAACCAGAGTCGCCAGCCCTAAACCCTAAACCCTAAACCCTAAACCCTAAACCCTAAACCCTAAACCCTAAACCCTAAACCCTAAACCCTAAACCCTAAACCCTAAACCCTAAACCCTAAACCCAGCTCGCAGGCTGAGCAAAGCGCGGCAGAAATCGCGTTGAAGCAGATCGGGGAGGCGATAGGGGTGAGAAGTGGGGTGTTTACGACATTTGTAGGGTACCTTATCGGGGGGTTTAGGGTTTAGGGTTTAGGGTTTAGGGTTTAGGGTATTTGGGGGTCTATAGTGGGTGTTTCCTATGTTCGTAGGCCCCCAAATTGCTGAGTGATTGTTACTTGCACGGTACTGGATACGCTGTTTCCGGTTGTGTGAGTTATAATCTACTTAGGGTCTGCATATGTTAAGTAGGTTACCCTAGTTATAACCGAAGTTATAAGTAAGACCTAAGTAGATCCTAAGTAGTTTTGTTTTTGCTTTTGCACAA